GAACAAGGACATGCTTCAGTGCTCTTGCTTCTCTTTCTTCTGCGCTGGCATTTTCGGTGGCAGGCCTCCAGCGGGCACCTGCTTCGTGCTGGGCTCCACGTCAGGCGCCCTCACCGTGCCGTGCGCTTCTGGGGAAGGGCCAGGGTGAATAAAACTCAAAACAGGATGTCTTCCTGCCTGGCCTTCCTCCTCTCACATAACGGGTGCTCAAATATATTTACCGAATCGAGTTAAAAAGTTCTCTGGACTTCTGTGACCAAGCGCAGGATGACTTCTTCCTGCTGTGGACAGGACACCATGAGCTGCCATCGCCCACTCACCCGTGGAGCATCCCCTGCGAGCATGTCCTCGAGTCCTTGCCTGAGTGTGCAGGGAGAGCAAAGCGCCAGTCTCTGTCAAATACAAAAGAAAGGGGTCATCGTGAAGTTGCGCGGTTGATCCTGGCAGTGTGAGGCCACTGCATTCACTCTGACCCAGTGGGATGCCGATAGGTCTATGCTGAAAACAAGTGGCCAAGCATGATTTTCCCATTGCTCTTCCCTTCGGGGGGGTCCTGGATACGTGACGATCTCATTTCTCTTTCCCCTTAATTGCTGTAATTAGGTTGCTTGGCTCAGGAACAACAGAAGAGAATAAAGAAAACGACCTCAGACCTCCATTACCTCAGTCTTATGCAGCAACTGTAGCCAGACCAAGCACGTCTGCTGCCTCCACGGTGCCAGGTGAGCGGATGCGGGGGAACGTGTCTGTCAGCGACCCTCTGTCCCTTCACTGTTGCCTGGGGACAGGGCACTCTCCCGGAGCCATTTATTCCCTCCCAGCTGAGGCCACGGGAATGGCCTGCGCGCCTGGCCAGCACGGCTCCACAGGCTGCCGGCAGCATTTAACTTAACTGTTTGTCGCTGAGAATTTGCAGACAGGTGGAAAGTTCTAGGCACCTGGGTGGAAGGTGGGTTAGAGCAGCCCGCCTGACTTTGAGGCCGAGAAACCACAAATGGTGGGATCTGGACCCGCCTGAAGCACAGTTTCTCCAGAAGGAAAGCCAGGGTCGCCCCCATGCTTTCCCTGGGGCCTCCCTCTCTCCTCGGTCCTGCCCCCCCGGGGTCATGGCACGCAGCAGCCAGGGTGGCTCCTCTCACGCCTCATCCTTGGCTTCCAGGTTATTCTGAGGACGGCGGGGCGCTCCGAGGAGAGGTCATTCCTGAACACGAGTTTGCGACGGGACCAGTGTGTCTTGACGATGAGAATGAATTCCCCCCTGTGAGCATTCGGAACCCCTAAGACAGCGGCCCCGTCCATATGCTTAAAGGGAAAGCTTCACCTCTTGCAGGAGGCGAAGTCGCCTTCCCATTACCTGCGTCTGTAACAGCTAATCCTCTCTAACGTTCAGAAAGCCATAGGATGTTACCGTGCTGTGCGCCGCAGGGCCTACAGGCCAGCCATGAGGTGTCGCGCTCAAGCGGACGGCATCCGCGTAACCGGGTACTAATCCAGGGAGTCCCTGCGGCCTGGCTGCCTTCCAGCCTGGACCCCCTGACTTTGCTTCCTTCGCACTAGCTCTGCTGCTCGTAAGGCAGGACCTCTTGCCTGTGTAAACTTTTATTCCCACGAGGCTCCTGTCTGCAGAACGCTGCCATCCTGGGGCTGGAGGTGATTAACAGGGCCAGGCCGCTGGGAGCCAGACCCTCACCGCCTCTGGCTCTGATGGGGCAGACCCCAGCCCCCGCAGCAGCTACGGGCACGCGTTAATCAGCAGCTGTGTGGAGAGCTCGCCCAGGCACCTCCCGCTGGGTTTCCCAGCACCCGCTTCTGCTGTCTGGCAGCGAGGGCCCCCGGGGTCAGCTGGCTGGGCGCTAGGCGTGGCTTCTTCCAGCATCCCTGACTGAAAGGAAGGTTCTCTCCCTGGGTGGCTGCCGAAGCCTCCTTAGCTTCTCATTTTTCAAGCTTCCACCTAGGGCAACTTGTAGACCCCGCTCGTGAGCTTCATGTAGAGAACAGCCCAGATAGTCAACCTGGAGTCATTCGGAGACAGAAGCAGTGTCTGGGCTGAGACTTGGCAAGTCAGTCGAGTGACCCTCCCAGAAGCAGAGACAAGTAGCCATTTGAGAATGGCTTCGATGCCTGTCAGGTCTTGGTGTGCAATGTTTTCTCCTGATCACTATTTTGTGTCAGTTGAGATTCCGTTTGCAAAAGGATGGAGTGCGGGTCTGGCTTCTTTCTTGCAGACATCCTAGGACAATCTAGTGAGCACAGTCAGCTACAAGAGGGGGCTATTGTGGGGCCCTTCGTGCATGGCTGGAGGGCCATGTTTGTGAGTTCCCTTATAAAGGCTCTATGCATTATGGCTTGATTTACATTCTGACTTTTAATAGGCAGATCGCCAAACACATTGCCAATGAGTGAAGTTTATATTTGAGGGATGGGAAGCAGTAACTCTTAAAAATACTAACTGTAAGTTTAAAAACATCTGTTGGCTGGTGGCTTCCCGATAAAACAGTCATTTTGCCTTTGGGTTCTAATACCCCAACTAGCGGTAAAGGGAGTTTTTCTGTCCCCCAAAAGTTACCTGAAGTTGCATTTTCCAGGAACCAGAGCAAGTCAGATGCAGTTGGGGATAAAAGTGACTGTCCTACTCCATCAGGGTTCAGGGCACTCACTCATTGGGTTCCATTTCAGTAATTTTGGTAAAAGCCTGTGACTGTTATAAAAGATTATTAGATTCTTAAGTATACTCGGAGTAGAACCTATAACCTTTTATATTTACAGAATCTGAGTACTTCAGATATTGGCATTCAGGTGGTCCCTTGCCAAAGAAAACCTGTATAAAATAATAGGTACACTGTCTAGAACATTTGTTTGGAGTTAAAAAAAAAAAAAATGGAGAGACTTAAAAACTAGTGCTAAAACTTGTTGCAACCCCTTCGCCTGTGCACTGCCAGGAAGCTGGGTATGAGCCACTTGTCCTGTCTCCCTCTTAAGGACCAAATGAGTGAAGGTTGGTTTAAATTACATCTGGGATTTTTATTTACGTACGGGGAAAGCTACCTGCCAGCGAGAGTACTGATCGCTGAACGAGGCGCCCTACAACAGTTGTTAGACCCTAGCAGGCACTGGGCGGCTTGTGTGCAGAGCCGGTGGTAGGCATCACAGAGGCCATCAGACCCCGGCCCTGCCCTTGAGCCTGCAGGCAGACGGTGAGGAGAGGGCCTTGCTCCTGTGAGATACTGACAAGGTCGCAGGCAGGTTCACTGTCCCACTGCACACAGGTCAGAGGAATGAGTGCTGCTGGGATGTTCTCTCAGCGTGGAGCCCTTACTGGCAATAATATTCAACTGGAGATGCCAGACAACTTCCTCTGTTTGTATTCTTCTATGCCTATTAGTCATATTTGTCCAGAATTCTCATCTCTACCCACATTCCTTAAAAGCTTTCGGGACTGTGAAAGGGTCTTGCAGTCTCGGCTCGGTTAAAATCCCTTCTCCTGTAGACGTGAACGTGAGCTTGCCTGGATGATCTCACGAGGGGCTTTGCCTTAACATGGGTCATCACCAGTGGTCTTTTTAAATATACTGACACTTACCTGGGTATGATCACTCTTCTCTCCTTGGGAATTTACTTTGTTCCAAGAACAATGAAGGAAAAGAGAATCGATCACTTCCTGTACTTTAGAAAGATATGCGGTATACGGGAGGGTAGGCAACTTTTGTTTCAGAGACAAGCTACCCTTTCCGAGTCTGCATGTTTTCTGACACTAGTCTTACTTTTCTGAGCAGGAGTAAGGAGACTGGGGCCAAGGGTAGTTACTGACTTTTTAACAGTGATGTAGCAGTCTGTGTTTACAAGATGAGCCTTTAAAAGAAAAATACACGTATACATATTTTATATATAGTCAGCATCTCCTGAAACTGTGCCAAACTTGTCTACACCTAAATAAATAAGATGCGTGAATTTTCTGTGGCCGCGTGTGCCCAGCCTCCCCGTGCCGACCCCGCATGGGCACAGGTCTGTTGATAATGCAGCCTGCCTACAGCACTTCCTGGAAAGAGTAAGGCCATTCTGTTTTGATTTCGGTAGATAATCTTGTGCCGTGGAAGTCAGAAGGGCAAAACGAAGCAGTCATGATGAGACGCGCACTTCAGAAATCAGGACACCCCCTATCAGGTGGTTTTGGAGAAAACGAGGAAGGTGGAAGAATGGCGTGCGATTGTGGGCGCAGAATGGGGGGCAGGAGTGCCGGGTGCCACCCGCTTAAGCCACAGGACGCGCGGCTCACTGCTCACCAAGCCCTGCTCAGCCCTGGCTGCCGGTGGGTGCAGGAGGCACTGTACGCACATCCTGCCACTTAAAATATATCACAGCCATAGTGTCAATGCTAACTAACCATATTGGTCTATAACCGAAATTTTATATTAAAAAGGGCATCCTTTTTAAATGTATGCTGTGTAAAAATGTACCTATAGAGAAATCTCTTCAAATTGTTTTCTTGTATAATACATACATATAGAGACTATTTTAGCCAGGCAAAGTATTTTTGCAGTGATTGGAATAAATCATTTATTACCGTTGAGTGCCATTTAGGACACTAATAATAAAATCATGGCAATGCATTTTTGAGGCTCTAAAAATTTATTCATGGTTTTAGGAAATAGAAAGAACTCCTAAAATCTCTAAACTTCACCTTTAAAAGGGTGTGAGGGTGGCAGGTAGGGCCGTGGGCTTATCTGCGGGCTCTTCTGCTCAGAGACCCAGAAAAAACATCTGACTTTGTCTAGTCTATGTCCTTCCTACTCAAGGCGACCCCCAGAGGTGTTCTAGAAGTGGAGGACCCCTGACCTACTGCGTCAGAATCTGCACTTTCACCAGATGGCAAGAGGTTTATGTGTATTAAAGGTGGAAAAGCCATGCTTTCGATACCAGCCAGAACGAATCCCTGCTAAAATAACCAGAGAAACTAGGTACATTAAAGAGAGGGAGGGAGAGAGAGAGAGAGAGAGGGAACGAATCCCTGCTAAAATAACTAGAGAAACTAGGTACATTAAAGAGAGAGAGAGAGAAAGAGAGAGAGAGAGACGTATTGAGTGCCTGCCTCAAGTGTCAGATATTGTGCCAGGCATTTTCATGTATTGCCGTATTGACTCTTCAAAACTGGCTTGCAAGTTAGGTTATATAACAGCCCCAAGTTCAAAAGCTGGGGCTTGAACCTGGTCTGACTCTGAAGCCCGTGTGCTTCCCATTACAGCTCAGCGCAGCTGTCCTCTCAAGCTAGCAGGCAGAAGGGACAGTTTGGGGATGAAAGGTGGTGGCTGCAAAACAAGATTCTGAGACTTATTTTTAAAGTGCACATAACTAAAGAGGGTAAGACTGCACTTGGGATGTGAACTTGCCCTGTCTCAGTGCCTGACATTTCTGCTTGTGGAAACATGGGTCTAGGGGGTGGTTTGGCAGCGGCAGGCAATTCGGTGGGGATTGCAGCAAGGAGTTACTGAGGGGTCTTGAGTGTAGTCCACTCTGGAGATGTTGTCACGAGCGATGTCTTCAAGGACACTGGCAAGGACCTCTCTGACCCTGGGCAGTACGCGCTCGTATTCGGCACTACTTCGTTCTAGAGGCACAGCTTCTGCAACATCATCTTCCAGATTGAAAATAAGGGGAGGCTCGTGGTGCTGCTCAGGACCCACGCTCCCGTCACAGGCTTTGGCTCCACCTAGAGAGGGTGACAACAAACAGCCCATCAAACCCAATGCTGGCCCTGTGTTGTAAAGAGAACCGAGACTGAGTATAAATGAATTCAAGCACACCAGGACTTTATTCAAATGATGGCTCCTCCTGTCACAAAAATTACCGTGAGGACCTGTGTGCTCATTCCAGGATGCTCCTGTTGTCCAGAGTGATCTGGAACTTCTCTTTGGACTTGATATGTGAGCTCGTACAATGTTTATTCAAATCTCTCTCTTCTCTGCCCTTTGGGAGTAAATTTGATCTTTTTTTGAAAATCGATTTCTCCAATAGCAAATATATTCAATTTGGTAATTAGATAGAAAGGCAAGGTGAATAATTTTGCTTTGGGTTGAAACTGAGATTCCTGTACGAGTTAGAATCTGGCTATTAAGGCAGTCCCAGAAGAGGAGCGACAAATGTGTAGAGTGATGGCAGCATCCTTGGTTGTTAATGATTCAGACGACCTTTTTGTTGTTGTCTGCCTTGTCCATACAAAAAGGTGGTTAAGGTATCTGACAGAAACAAATATAATATAATTGAATAAACAAAAGGAATTAAGGCAATTCAGGAGTGTCCTTATTTCTTGGAAATACAGGAGTTCCTGAAGACCTTTGCCTCTGAGCTTCTCAGCAGCCAAACTTGAATAAATTAGAAACTTCAATTCATTTCTTCAGGGGAAGCGGAGCTTTTTCCAGCAATGAGGTGTGAGAGAATTTTTGTCAATGGCTCCTCATACATTCTTATGACAGACAGCGCTGCATGATTAGGATGGTCCAGCTGATGACTTTTTATCACACCTTTCACCCCAAGATGAGAGTATGACACCAAAGTACAATTCAGTAAAAGCAGACCTACAGGGGCCAAAGCCACGCTTCCTGAGGATGCGGCTTTCTTTCTGGCTCAAGCTGGACAGAAATCACATTTGAGGTATCGAGTGAGAAGAATGGGTAGATCACAGAGACTCTGGGGAGCCCCGCTCGATGGTTTTCCTGCTGTGACTGAGATTCAGCTTGCCTGACAGGGTGTAAGAGCTCATGCCTTTACCTAGAGTTCAGGGTCAAATCTGGCTCCTCTTCACTGACAGTAAAGAGCAGTGACGTGAGCTTTGGCAACCAGTCAAGTGAAGGTTGGGATCAACTGCTAAAAAGTAGACTTCCATTTGAGGGAGGAGTGGGGCAGCTTGCACAGAACTAACCCTCGTGTAGATAACAATTACACATTCCAGTCGACATATTTAAAAAACAGCAAATGGAAGTCACTAGATAATAAGCAAGGCAGGCAGAAACTAAAAGGGATCCCATCCTTGACAGAAGGACGCCACACTGGGTTGGGTCTGTGTTTAAGTTTTGTCCCCTGGGGAGGTACCCCCAGTCTGTGCCGCACATAGCAGCTGGGCCCAAAGAGATGGCTGCGGTCTCTTTGGCTTGAGATGATAGAAGACAAAGATCAGGGCTTCAATAACAGATGAAAATTGGTGGGCAAAATCCTGAGAAGGAGGGAGCCGGAGAGGGAAAACCTCAAAATCCACAAATAACCCCCCTTCAGATCCTTGGCTGACCCCTGAACTGTGCGCGTGCAGAGGAGACAGGTTCTAGTGACAGCTAGAAGTCTGAATAGCTCAGCAGGCATTTCCATGCTGCCCAGTGCAGGGAAGATGGAGTTTAGAGTGTGAATTCTGTTGAGTTAGAAAAACCTGATAAACACTTCATATTCTCCATTGAAGTCTCAAAAGGAGTAAAGACCACGTCTCAGAACTAAAGTACTTACTTCAGATTAAGGACCAAATCTGAACGAGCCAGTCCTAACAAAGTGTAAAACCAAGGCTCCACAATTTTAAGGGACATTGCTAATAATTAACTGCCTGTCGAGAACAACAACAGCAAATCAACACTCCTTGGGTAACAGAAGTCAGAATCTCTACAATGCATCATCCACAACGTCCAGTTTCTAAAAACAACTAAATAGGAAACTTGCAGTTTCTCGTTCGGCATGAAAGAAGCTTGGAAGTCGTCACTCCATTCTAATAAAGCCGAACGAACTGAAAAAGTAACAATTCTTCCAAATCTGGCAGAGAGGTGGGGTCACAGGGCAAACCACTGGCCCCCAGACTGAAGACACAGACGAACAGAGAAAATCACAGCATACTGGGGCAGATACCTCCCAGAACCAGGCCTGGGGGAGGGAAACCTCCACAGTGATGGGTGAATCACTGGAGGCTCAGTGTGCACAACTCTGAGACTTAAAAACTCCATGGGGCCAGTCATTTCTTAGATGGAAATGCTAAGAAAGAATCAAAAAGAAATGCTAGTGATCAAAAATACTATAACAGAAACAAGAATAAGAATGCTCATTAGACTGGGCATGGCTGAGGAAAGAATCTGAGCTTGGGGATATCTCGGAAGAAGCTTCCAAAGTTGAAAAGCAAAGAGACAAAAAGAAGACTGGAAAAAAACAAAAATAAAAAACAAAAAAACAATAGAATATCCAAGAATTGTGAGACAATTACAAACAGTATAACAAATGCATAATGGGAATGCCAGAGGAGGAGAAAGAGAGAAAGGAGCAGAGGAAATATATGAAAGAATAAGGACCTAGATTTTCCCTAAATTAATTTCAGACCCCAAAACACAGATAAAGGAAGCTCAGAGAACTCCAAGCAGGATAAATGCCTGAAAGACAATGTCAAGAGAATGAGAAGATAAGCCACAAAATGGAAGAAAATATTTGCAAAAGACATATCTGATAAAAGACTGTTATTCGAAATATACAAAGAACTCTTAAAACTCAACAATAACCATTCTGGTGGCAGGGTCTGAGGACAGGGAGGCAGGTGCCGTGTCCGGCTGCAAAGGTGGCAAGAAGCCCTGGCAGCAGCCCAATAAACAGGCCAAGGAGATGGACAAGGAAGATAAGGCATTCAAGCAGATGCAAAAAGAAAAGCAGAAGAAACTCGGTAGCTAAAAGCGAAGGGCGTAGAGAAGGGCCCCTGGTCACAGGTGGAATTAGGGAATCTGGCAAAAAGTTCCTTGCTCCTAGGGCAATGGTGGTCCTTAATTCCATTCCTGTTTTAACATCTGGATTCCCTGCCATAACATCTGTTGCCACCTACGGCTAGAATGAAGTGTTGTCTTGGAGACTGCTGTACATTTAAGAATAAACTTTTGTAAATCATCGTCATCATCATCATCATCATGCAGTGGTTCATCTCTTCAGTTCTTCTCAGCCATTTCAACCTTAGCTGTGAGGTCAGAGTAAATCCAACCCAAAATATGTCCTTCAGTCTTTGTTTCATCCTGGATTCTGTACTGCCTAGAATGGAACTAACTCATTTGGAAACAACAACAACAACAATAAGAATACGAACAATCCAATTAAAAAGCGGGCAAAAGACCTAAGCAGATATCTCACCAAAGTAGTTATACGATTAGTAAATTGGGCAACAAAAGGATGCTTAACGTCCTATGTGATTAGGTAGTTACGAATTAAAACAACGAGATACTACTACACACCTGTGAGAATGGCCAAAATAGAAAACACTAATAACACCAGATGCTGGCAAGGCTGTGGACCAACAGGAACTTTCACCCACTCTTAATGGGAACCCAAAAAGGAAGACGATTTGATGGTTTCTTATAAAACTGAGCCCATTCTTCACATATTATCTAGCAATCATACGCCTTAGTATTTAACCAAATGGGTTTAAAACGCATGTTTACACAAAGACCTGCATGTGGATGTTCATAGCATAATTGTCAAAACAATTCATAACTGTGAAAACCTGGAAGCACCCAAGGTATCCATCAGTGGGTAAATGGATAAATAAACAATGGTACATCTACACAATGGAATATTATTTAGTGCTAAAAATAAACATTATCCAAGGGTTGCCTCATCTAAAAATATAATAAATAATAAATAAAAATAAATAAAAAATAAACATTATCAAGCCATGAAAAACATGGAGAAACCATAAATGCCATATTAATCAGCACAGGTTGACATAACAGAAATACCCCAGACAGCTACAGATCAACATCCCTTATGGATATACCTGCATGAAACCTCAACAAAGGCTAACAAACTGATTATGGCAGAATATAAAAAAAAATTATACACCATGACCAAGTGGGATTTATCCTAGGTATGCAAAGTTAGTTCGACATACAAAAAACAATGTAAAACAATGTATATTAATAGAATAATGGACCCCAAAATGACCATCTTAATAGATGCAGAAAAAACATTTCACAAAACCCAACCCCCTGTCATGATACAAACACTCGGCAAACTAGGAATAGAAAGAAACTTCCTCAACCTGATACAAGGTGTCCAAGAAAACAGCCTCACAGCTAACATCCGACTTAGTGGTGAAGCCTGAAACTTCCTCCCTAAGATCAGGAACAAGATAAGAATGTCCACTCTCACCACCTCTATCCAACACTGCACCGGAGGCTCTAGCAAGAGAAATTAGATAAGAAATAAAAGGCATCCAGAAAAGGAAAAAGTAGAACTACCTCTATTTGCAGATGAAATGATCTTACATTACAAGAAAGGAAAATTATAGACAAAATCTTAGCAAATCGAATCCAGCAATATATATTTTGAAAAGTCACGATTAAGTGGGATTTATCCAGGAATTCCAATTTTTTATTCAGTTGACTTAATATTTGAAAATTGGTATAATTCATAGCATTAAGAAGGCACTTACACAGGTATAGACATTAATAAAACCTCGTCAAATTATACAGTTGAGATCTGTGCCTTTCCCTGTATGTAAAGTTTACCTTAAATTAGTTTGATAAAAATGAAAAACAGTAAGATACCTTAATTCTAGGCCATACGCCGAAACGAACTGATTGCCTTTTAAGGCCACTCCTAGTTCACGACCACAAAATCACATCCTGTCATAGAAGGATACACATCTTTCTCTGATCTAATGCGGTAGCTGTCATTTCATCTAGCTTATCCAAAACCAGTTTTAAGTAAGTAGGATGCCGATTTTTAGGGGGTGCAGGGGAAAGAAGCAGAGCATGTCCCTGTTTTCATCCCATCTGCGAGATTTCAGTCCTCCCCACCCTGATCCTCCTGGGAGTCTGGTAACTCCCGAGGACAGATGTCCCCTAGGGTTTATAATTCCTGTCTGATGGGGATCATTCTAAACGATCCTGTTACTTCATAGTGACACTTATGATTCCAATATTGTGGTGCTGAGGGCTTTCTGGCAGTGGGATTGCTTCTGAAATTAACTCAGCCTGGGGAAACCACACCTTTTAGATACTGTAACGTGAGGACTGCAACCTACAAACTTTCCATCCGAAAGCATAACAATTATCTGACCCGTTTGCGTTTTAGGGTTTGGAGAATCAAAGATTGTTGTGGCCTTTTTAATATCCCCCAAATTATGAACTCATAGAACTTGTTTTTATGCCAGATTTTCTTCAGGGTCACTTATTTACACATAAGGAAATTTTTTTTTTCTGTATTATATAATCTTTTGGAAAGCTCTGATATGAAATAACTGAATCGAATTAGAATCTGTATCAGGTCTCAGATTTTGGTGGCTTTTTTGTTTGTTTTCATTCATAAAAACAATGTTACGGTTCCTACTAGGTGCAAGATACTGTGCCAAGCAAGCCCTGCAAGACAACAGTCATTAAAGAGCTCACAGAGCACTGAGTTTAAAGAGCTTAAAACCAGTAGAAGAAATAAAACGTGTACCTAAATGACTGGCATATGTGTGAGAAAAGAGTAAAGATAGAGAACATATGAAATGAAGTCCCTTTAACCAAGCTGCGAAAATTATTAATACTATGAAGGCTGAGACACGAAGAAACAATTCTATTCTTTTTCTAACTTGCCTGGGAACCTAACATTTTGAACTTTCCAGTCCTGCCTCAATGCCTGGCTATACATCTGGACATATATACCAGACGTCCAGATAAGCCTCTGACTACCCCTTCACGAAATCACGTATACAGCCAACGGACATCTGATTGACAACGGTCTTGGACGAATCCTAGGGCTAAGACTGCAGGACTGATCATTCTCGAGAATGTACTTTTTACTCAACTTTTCTTTCTTCTTTCAAACACTTTTGAGTTTTTGCCTAGCCTGTGTTTGCGAACTCTAAGACCCCTATATAAATCTTTATCATTTATTTCTGGCAAAGCCTCCGGACTCTTTCCGAGTTCATTTGACATATGGCAGAATGTGATAAATATCAGATTTCTCCAAATCCTACACAGCTGGGAAGATCAGAGGGACTTTTGTGATCGAGGTGGCATTTGATTCGAGGCCTTAAAAGCTGAGAGGGATTTTAATATGGAGGCCAAGGGAGAGGGCCCTTGCTCTTGGAGAAGACTAGAAAGATAGAGGGACCCAGGATTGGAAGGAGTCTGAACTCGGTTGGCAGTGAGAAGCTACCAGAAGATTTTGAGAACCATCCCGATCCAGCATCACGCTTTAAAAACATACATTTAAGACAGTCACGGGGTGAACCCAGAAGCTGACTTCTGCCAGTTTGCCAAATAGACCTCTAAAGTCTCTATTCTGAAACAGTCTATTGTCAAGTAAATTAAACTTTCGAATATCTCTAAGCTCCCATTTAGTTCTGCCAAACTGGCATCTAAAGCATGACAATGAAATGTGTTAAAAAATAAAAATAAAAAACAGGCCAAAATGGAGTCACTTGCTCTAAGCCATGTCACCAATCCAAACTCACTAATCTCGCTGCAGTTTCGGCCTCTCCCAGGAGCGGAATTTTAAACCCATCAGTCTGGAAGCCCCTGATCAATACTAGTGAGGTCATGGGCAGGATAAAAGCCCTGCCATTGCTTCTCCCCTAAATGAAGATGACTGCCCTAAAAATAATCCTTTCTCTTCTAATAACTCCCCTGCCACACCCTTCTGCCTGTAAAAACCTTCCATTTTTGGACAAACACCCCCACCCCTACCCCGTGTGCCCCTCTAGCTGCTAGGTAGGTTGCTGTATGGTTCATGAATAAATTAACAAAGCCAATTAGATCCTCAAATTTACTTGGTTGAATTTTGTTCTTTAACAAACAAAACGTTCTTCAAGTGAACAGAAACTGTATAAACAACGTGCTGAACGAGCTCTGAGCTTGTTGGAGATTTAGGTGAAATCTAGGTCTGCCACACGTTGTGGGTGCAGAGGGCCTACGCTGGGCCTTTGGGTGCTGGAAACTTCTGCTAAGCCCAGGCTTTGTGGGCGGGGGGAGGACACTGTCACAGGTGCCGACTGCTCCTGAAGGAGGGCCTGAGCGTCCAGGCGGGAGAGGCGCGGGGGACGTCGCCCGGGTGTGCAGCCCGCACCTCGCTAACTCACCGGTGATGAAGAAGGCCTTGTAATGCTCCAGGCGAACGGTCTGTAGGGCTCCGTACTCTCCAGCTGCCCCACTGCTGGGGTGAAACAGCACCTGAGAGAGAGTGGCAGCAGAGCTTACTAAGAAAAGCAAGTTGAAGCCCCCTGGGAAGCACTCCTCTGTCATAACCCCTCCTTACGCCTCACCCCCCAACCCCACTCCTGCCCCAGACCCGGACAGACACGGGCCTGTAGCCCTCACCATCCCGCTCCTGGGAGCCGCTGTGAGTCAGTCGGAGTGGGTTACAGCTCTGGTCACACGCCTAGGCCCAGGACCAGCTATGTGATTTGCAGGGTCCAGTGCAAAATGAGAATGAGAGAAACCTTGCCTAAAAATTAAAAATTTCAAGATGGCCACAGCACGTGCACTTTAAACCAAGCAAGAAAAGCAATTAGATCCTCAAAGCCAATTAGATCCTCAAATTGACTTGGTCGAATTTTGTTCTTTAACAAACAAAACGTTCTTCAAGTGAACAGGAACTGTATAAACAACGTGCTGAACGAGCACTTGGTCCTTCTAAGTGTGGGGCACTGGGTGATTGCACAGGTCACACACCTAGAAGGCCGGCCCGCCTGGGCCCCACCCCTCAGGTTCAAGACCGGGCCTGGGAACCTGCATGTCTCACAAAGATTCCCAGGTGGTCCTCAGCTCTCTTTGAAAATGGCTTCTTTAGCACCCCGATATTTCCTAACTCTCACCTGAGAAAGAATGGCATAAGATGGCACCTCGAGAAGACAGCTCAGTGTGATTTCTCCGGAACGGGGTGCAGCCTAACCTCCGAATGGTGTCCTTACCTGACTCAACCCTACTCCACTCAGGCCGAGGGAATCCTTCCTCCTCAGGCCACAAATGAAAGACTCGCCCTACAGAACGGAAACACTTCATTTGGGGCTCCCAGGGACAGGATTTGGTAGGAAATAAGTGACCAGGTTGGTGGGTTTGGGCTGGAAGCTGGAGACCGCCCTGGTATGAATCATGGCCAATATATATCACTGGGTAGGCGCTTACGTGATTCAAAGTTTCCATGGGACTAAAGAGAAAAAAAATGAGAAACATCTGTTGGAGCTGTAAACAGCTGTCCCCCCAAGTTTCCTGACCCCGAGAGGATTCCCCCGAGGGAGGGGCTCCTCCCACACCTGCTTCTTCCGTGCTCTGGTGCTCTCGTGACAACCTCTGCAGTTCCCCAGCCAGCGTGATGACAGCAGGCTCCTTCCAAACAGGAAAAGAAAGAGTAACTCAAAACCCTCACTTCTTCCAAGCCTGCAGGAAGCCAAGCCTCTCACCGCAGGAGGCTGTTTTGTTTCCTTCTGGAGAAGGCAGGAAGTGCGAGAACTTGGAAAACCTATTGTCCTCTGTTCTATGATGCACTCTGACATCCAGAAGATGGGAGTCAAGGTCTGCTGGTTCGAAGCGTTGACGGTATTTGAGTTGCAGTAACAGTAACGCCATAGTGTGGGCTGGGATATTTATTCAACGTTACCAGAGGCAACTTCCACAATCCAAGAGGAAGCGAATTCGGGGATGGTTCGCTCTCAGAAACGTGGACAGTGGATTTTGGAGAACTCATATACATGCCTTTTTTTCCTTTGAGCAGATTGATTATAGTGGCGTTGTTTATATCAACATAGGAAGGCGGTTGGCAAATTTACCCGTGAATCACAGCTGAAGACATTTCCTCTACAGAGGATGCCTGGTCCAAATTTCGAAGATAAAAACTACCTTCTGGAATACATGTTGCACCTTCTTGGTTGCCTTTCTTAGCTGTTCGCTTGGTTTTATTTTGTTTTGTGTGTTTAAGCACGTGAGCATTGCCTTATCTTACGCCCTGAAGGCTGGTGCCTCTGCCACATCCCCAGAAGGAGGCCCTCCCACCCCATCAGATGGGGGTGCACAACCTGCCTTCTCCAGAAATGGCCAGCCCTTGGCCAGCCACTCTGATGGCATCTGTCGCCACTAGAGGCCTCCCTAAGAGAAGCGATGGGCGTTCCAGAGACTAAACTCCAACTTCTCAATGTATGGCCTCCAGGGATGTGCCGAACATGTTATGACCCACGGCAGCCTCAGACTGGTTTGGGCTGGGCAGTGGCAGAGCCATCAAGCGAGCTTTTTCTTTGTTGATGATTTATCGAGTTGGCCATGGCAACCTGGGACTGAGATATGACTTGACCAGTGGGAACATCACAACCTCCCACTTCCGTGTGGGAGTTGGGCAAGTACAAAGTGGGACGTTTGGTGCCAGGCTGGTCACTGTCTCCTTCCTGGCTCCCCTCTCCTTCCTCGTGGTTGACCTCTTTCTCTAGAGAAGGACCCATCAAGATCAGAAGCAGAAGGCTCAGCAGATGCAAAACTGTGCAGCATGGCGTCAGCCACGATTGGCCTTGGACATCACAGACGTGATGTTTCTAGCTGTCAGTGAAGTGGGTAGGGAGAACACTGTTCAGAAAAACCAATAACCGATTAATTAGCCTTTAATCAATCAACAGAGGGCCTGGGATGGCTGCCAAAAAGTAAATGGTTCTAGTTTGCTTCAACTCTTCAACTTTCAGTTACTTCATTTGCAAAATAGGGAAGAACCCAACTGCTGAGACGTATTTGCATACTCTACTGAGATGACTAGGAGTTACTCTGAGCTTCCTGAAACTGACATGGTTTTCTTCTGACCCAACTCATATCAGAACCCTTGTCAGCCCCGGACATATCTAAAGGCGAATACAATTAAATTGTGTTTATTAAAAAATACATGTATGTACAGGAATATCTGTTTGTGTATACACATATGTATATTTACATATATCTATATGATCAATCCTATTCTTACCTTCCGGCCTTCCTTCAGCAAACTCAGGATGATTTATTCTCATCTCGTTCGTGGCCGACCAGAAAAGACCAAGGCCAAATTCAGGGTCAGCGACTACCTATGTTGCCCTCAAACTCCAAATAATCTCACAGCAAGCATCGTCAGTAACACTGCAGCAACCTAGTGCCCCGGGAGCGGGGACGTGCCCACAGGTGTCTGCACCCATGTGCTTTTACATTTGACAATATCGACAGCAGCCTGTTTCCATCTGGGCCATGGGGTGTCGTTAGGCAGCAAATCAGCCCAACTCCAGCTACGTTACCACACATCGCATGTCACCATGAAAACCCAAAACGGTGCTGTGGCTTGCGTCTGGGTCCTCCTGCCTGATTCCTAGGCCCAATTCCATTGGGCACTAGACCAATAACTGTTAAACTCCACGGATGGGGCCTCCGTGAGTCTGCAGACTTGAGAAAGCTAACGCTCTCCCCGCTGAGAACGGAAGTTAGTGCAAAGGAGCTGGCTTCCACAGGCCACCGCCAACGTCAAGGAGACCACAGTCCTTGAAGCACTTCCTGGTGACCCCAATTATTCTATTAGTAGCCACGGTGATAAACATTCAGGAGCACCTCTCCACTGACGTCCTCGACAACCCCCCAGGGTCACATACTGCAAACTTCCAGCCTGAAGGCGGAAGGCACCTTCCTGCTTTGCTGCTGCTTAGAAACAGAGCTCGGCCTGGAAGGGTGTGCAGCTCTAGAGGGTCAGATATTCCAGGAAAAAGCGGTACGTCTTCTGGGGACATTCCAGGCATCGTCTGGCAAGCCCTAGAAACTAAGGAGTGTTCACAGGAGCACTGATGCCCACTCAGGCCCGGCGTGCTGGCCTGCCTTGGCCAGCGCCATGGGAAGGACGGCTTCGTTAACCGCCATAGTACATTTGAGCAGCATTTGAGTCACTTCCATGTGACCCTCGGCAAAGACATAAATAGACCCTTTGATGTGTGGGTCCTAACTGAGAAGCCTTGTGCTCCCAGGGCCTTACAAAGGGAGCTCTGGTTCTTCCAGCCTCCTTCCCTCCTCCCACTTCCTCTTCCTTTTGGCAAAAGGAAAACACACAAAAATGACAGGGAAAGGCCATCAGGCCTGACATTCCCTGGCTATGCGTCAGAGCACCTGAGAAAGGGACACTGGGGTGCTGGGAAGTGCAAGTCCAAAGCTGGTGAGGGGGCTGCAGAGCCTCGGTCTGGGCCCTCAGGAGCCAGGGGACCGTCCCTGCCACCTGAAGGTCTCTCAGAGGGAGCGAGCACCAACGTGCACCCACCACCCTCAGCCAGACTGTTAGGTACGAATCTGGATTGACAAACTGGGTTGACAACAGGGGAAAAGGAGGAGGGGAGAAGGAGAGGCTCGTCTCAGAGGAGTCAGCCTCGGGGTTTCCTAAACGGAACCTGGAGCGGCCACGTACGCGCATCTTCTGAGGATGCTCTGTTTGCACAAAGATGACCAGGCCCCGGGTGACAGGCGGCAGGCCAACCTCCCAGAGAGCCCGGGAGGGGCTCGCACCACCTCCACTTACCTCGTGCCCAGTCTGCGGCCCGCCAAAGAGCACCTCAGAGGCATCCAGGCCGTCGAAGCGTCGGCCTCGGGGCAGGCTGGCCCCGGCCAGGGCGACCACGGTGGGGAAGACGTCCAGCACACTGCAGCAGGAAGGACAAGACAGCCAAGGCTCCAGCTGGTCCCGGACTCCCCGGCCACGCTGTGCTCAAGACCCAGCCGGAGCGGCCCAAACCCAGCGCCAACAGCCTCCCGTATGCCCCGCCCCCTCCGCCCGCCTTTCCTGCCTTCTGGTTCCACCTGCTCCTACTAAGGGCCTGGTGGTTTAGCAGCCAGGCTCTGCAGCCAGGTGTTACCTGAGCTCACATCCCAGTGTTGCCACTGACCCAGCTCCCGAGTGTTTCAGTTTTCTGGTCTCTGCACGGGGCACGGTAATAACAGTGTCGCGCTCACAGAGTGGGGGCGTGGATGAGACACACAGGAAAGGCACACAGAAGAAGCTGGCACCTGGGGAGTGCTCACTGGGTGTCTGTGCTGTAACTATTCATAGGGCCATCCCTGAGGACCGAACACCTAAGCAGTTTGACCTGCCACCAAGCAGGCCACTTGCCGAGAGGGAACAGTGCGTGACAGGTGTCTGCAAGAGAATGCATACTTTGTTTTCCTTGCCTGGGTCTGTGCGTTGCAAACATCTAGTCTTGTTTAGAATGCCACGGTGTGTGAAACACTCCGTCCCCTTTAATTTAGCTCTTTTTTTTTTCCCCCATTACGAAAGAGTAAATGTTTATGATAAGAAATAAAAATAGCACATCTAGAAATATAAAGGAGAAAACAACGCACAAATGATCCCTCACCTAAAGGCAGCCATCGTTAACATTTTGGAGACTTTCGTTAATGTGATTTTTGTTAAGTCACACGGAACAATTTCACTCTACTCTAGGGCACGCGTCCCTCCAGCCCGCCGTGCACATGGTGGAGCCAGCTCTGCGGCAAGAACAGATGAGCCGCCCTTTCAGCCGAACTGTCTATCCGAGGGCCAGGCTGGCGGAAGAGACAACGGGACTTGATGGAGCCAGGAGGACAGGGCCAACGCGAGGCTGCACTTCCCCAGGGAAGAGGCCCTGGTACCCTCCCTGCCGGCCTCCTCCTTCCTGCCAGGGCTCTGCCTACAACCGCAGGCGGAATCTCTCCTTTGACCGTGGTACAGAGTGTTTCTGGTTTGCCTCCAGCTTTCACAGTCCATGTAGCTGGTGGCTTATCTCTTGAGATACACGCTCCAGGAGCTGGCATCCCCCACTGATGCGAGGAGTGCAGAGTAAGCACTTGCCAAGCACAGCACAGTCCAGAAACCTGTCCAGAGTCCACAGTTCCTGCCACAGACTGGGCAGCGCAGAGGACGGCAAAGCAGTGTGAAAAGGCCATTGTGGTTGGGGCTGCGTGTCTGAGCTTTCTCTCACTGGTGCCCCTGAGAGAGGCCTGCGTGCATCACAGATGGGTCAAATCAGTGAGCAAGAGAAACAGGATCTGCGTTAGATTTCGGAATGCCTGGTACACTGTCTTTTTCCATCTTATTTTTTTTCCCCCCTCTATCATGAGGCTTTGCATCCTAATTATACAGCACCAAGCCTGATGTTCTGGGAACTGTATTGTCTCAGAGTTTACCGGGAACCACAGAGGAACCTAGTCCGCCCAGAGCACAAAGTAAACCTCTGGCCCACGAGAAAAGCGTCACCGTCTCCAGTGACTGGTCAATCCCAGCGTGATGTGAGCTTGGGCTGTCGTCAAATGTATTTCCTCACATAATGGAAAAAGCCAAGTCCCCGGGGTTCCCTGGGGAAGAGGGAGACACACAGTCCCGTCCCCGCCGCTCACCCCCAGGGCTGGCCCCCAGCCTAGACATGAACTTGGAGAAACCATCAGCTCTGTGAAGGCTGCCGAAGCTGCCCCAGTTGCCTCCAAACCTCAAACTTAACCTAAGAAACTGGTCCCTGGAGCCTCAAGACCTTGGAGAAAGAGACAGATAAAAAAATCAAACCTCCAAATCTACATTTTCAAATTTCTGCAGTTCATTATGATACTTGGGAGGGGGGGCTTTGGCTGGGCCACATTTTGACTTTTGTGGGTCCCTTCCTCCACACGCAATATCAAAAATTACATTTCACAACTGCATGGATATAAAGATACAAAGAGAATACATTGAAACATAGTCTTCAATTTCACGTGCTCCTGAAGTCTCATGGGTTCTGGCTCCGTGCCTGCCGGCCGGATGGAGAGGTCGGCCCTGACTGTAGAAAGGAGGAAGCCCCACTTCCCCGGCCTTCTGGGGAGGAGAAGGACAGCCAGGCACCTGCTCATGGAAGAAGAGGCTGTTTGCATGACACGAGAGGCTGCCACCAGGGTGGGCTGGGAACACCTTCGCAGGTTCTGCTGCCTGTGTGAAAATACATTACTTTTTTCTGATTACGGCTTCAGAGGCAGTGTGTGTATCATCCGAGGAGCGGTCGGGGAACCGGGGTGCGGAGGCCAGTGATGGTGAGAAGGATACTGGAGGGCCTGCTCCAGCAGGCAGGTGGCTGAAGGGCTGCAGGGTGGCGTGCTCCAAGGGGAACCACCTGGGCCTTGGGACCCATGCTGATGGGAACTGAGGTGCCTGTGCTGGGCTGTCCCGGGGTGGAGTGCACCCTAGGGCAAAGGGAGCGGGTTTCCTAGAAGCTGAGGACATTACATCTGGGGGCAAAGGCAGCCGTGATCTGAAGACGGGAAATGCGAGGGGGAGCGGGTCGCTCCGGGGAAGGGTTGAGGGGTGGCTGGGACTGGACATGGCGAGGGAGCAGGGAGCTTTTTGTCCTCTGTCGGAAGGGAGAGCAGAGCTTCTTCTAGACTATGGGAGAGTGGAAAGTGTCCCCAGGATGTGGGGAGCAGCTCTTTTTTAGTATTTAGTTATCAATTTCTTACTGTGCTGTAGTTTCCGTCTATTTTCCCCAGGAAAAGCTAGGTGCCCACCCCGTCCTGGCCTAAGCCTGCTGTGGAGCTTCAGAGTTTCCAGGGCTGCAGTTACCCGCCCCCAGCATCGGTGGGGCCCAAGAGCAAAGTGAGCACGTGCCTTACATAGCCCAGCGTGGCTGGGTGGGGGGCCGGGGAAGGGTAGGAGTGAGGCCACCTCCCTGTCTCCCCACTGCCAGATATAGGAAGTGGAGGGGCTTTGAAGAGGGTATGTGGCTAGACCCTGCCCAGGGGTGACACATAAACCACAAGACACTGACATGAACATCTCCTTGTAGCTCTTACTTCCAGGACAGGGTTCTGTGGCTCAGGCACAGAATCAGCTGGATCCCCCTCCACGTGACCGCCTTTCGAATACGGGAAGAGAGCTGCGAGGTTCCCCAGGCCCGGCGAGGCGGGGGGAGTTGGGGGGGGGACCGCGCTCCTAGCTCAACAGCAGCTTTCGTTGTTTTTCAAAGGAGATTGTTTCAAGTCCTTCACATCACTCTTGACACCTCGTACTTGCCCCAGTAACCTGAAAAGGAGGTTTTCTGTTCTCAACAGAAACCAGAGGCTCCCAGCTTTTTCACAGAGCAGATCCTTCCCGTTCTGACGCACAGCTCGGAGAAACCACACAAAACTCTGGTTCCCAACCAGCGTGAGTTAGTCACCCCAGGGGATACTCGGAGCTGCCTGGAGACATTCTGGTGGTCACAACTGGGGGTAGGGCCCACAACTGAGGCCAGAGATGCTACTAAACATCCTACAGTGCACAGGGCAGCCCGCAACAGAGAATGGTCAGGCCCCAGACGTCAGTAGTGCTGAGGCTGGGATGCCAGCTTTTGAGTCTGAGGTTCAAACCGCCACCAGTGTCCCTGTCACACGTGCCGCCCAAGCCCTGCGCTCCTGAAGGTGAGGGGCCTCCTAGGCATGAGGAGCCTCTGTCTGGCTTGCTCATTACTGAACCCCCAGCCCCTAGGGCAACGCTTGACCCGCAGCTGAACACAATAAACATTTGCTGGGTAAGCGAATTTCCCCCATTCTGTAATTACGGCACTGGGCTTTGGGGGCAGAGCATGTGCAAGACCTTCCTTTGAGCTTATTACACCGGATGGGTGCACCCCCAAGTATGAACTTTGGTATCTCTGAAAGGGATCCAGTGGGATTTGTGTGGGCCCCTTTTCCCCTGTACCACCCCCCCACACACACACACACATACCTTTTCACTTCTCTGTATTCGTGCAAGTACTTATATCAACTCGTCCACTCGCTGATGCCCACAACTCCTCGGGACCACCAGAATATAGGGCAAGGTACCTGGCCTTACCCCTGGGTGGCTTGAGGGAGTTAGTTATCTCTGATCTGGAAAAAGCTCTACATCTTCTGAAGAATAAAGTTTAGGGTAGTGACAAACACTCTGGATGGGAATGCTGGGCTCCCAAGGACGTGAAGTGTTAGCACCAGTTTCTTGAAAATAGATCCTAAGGCCAATCTCCACAGAACTGAGAAGGCCTCAGGGAGAAGGGCAGCAGACGCACGGTGGCCCGTCCCTGAGGGAGGGTATTCCCCCCATGTGCTTTACACGGGTTCACGTGGGGAGACAGCAAGAGCGTGAATTCTGCACAAACTGTCCTGCGAAATTCGAGACTCATTTAACCCCCCAAAATACCCTAGGACGGGCTGACACGGGGTTTTGGTATTGCTCCGGTGAAAACCCCAGGGGAAATGTTTCCTTGTGCCGAGACCGACTTTCCTTCGGTCCCCAACCTGTCCCCTAAGTTAGTTGCCACCTCTGAGGCCCTAGATGGTCAGCGGGATGAAGCGGTTTTATCGAGGTGCTGTAGTTGACTGCAGGTGTAAACACCGTTCGCACTCGGAAGTGCTCGGTCCTCGGCGATGTAACTGCAGAGGGGGCCAGTTATTTGCGCATGTGCAGCCCGGCCCGTGAACACCTGGCCTGACGGCGCCGAGTCAACCCCAGAAAAAGCAGCCCTCCTGGCCCTCGTCCCAGCCAGCCCGACATCACAAGACTCCAGCTTGCACCGTTGTTGTCACACCTGCTGGCACCCCGTGATAGCACGCTGCCCCCTCCTGATGTACAGGGCTGACCCGCAGTTCTGGGGCCCCAGGGGTTGCCAGGGGCAGTGCCTCCCAACTCCCTACTTTGGCCAGCAGAGCTGTTTACCCTTACGTCCCCCTGGGCTCCGGTCTCTCCCCTTCCCCCACCAGGTCGCGGGCGTGCTGGAGGAAGCCTGTGAAGGCTACTTGCCTCTACTAGGCTGTGTTCTCTAGGCCAGAACCCACTCGGCTGATGCTGAAGAACCTTTGGAACTAGCAAATTAATCTTTAAACAGAACCAAACCTCCGAGCGCGTGAACGGCCACTGACTTCTACTGAGGGTCCCCTTGTCAGGGAATACAGGGCAAAACTGTGCCCAAGAGAGCGAGAAGCCCATTCTGAGTCACGGCGACACAGCTGCATGGTGTTGCTTTTAGGATGGCACACCACGGCCAAGTTCTGTGCCAAAGAGGTGGTCTCCTGGATCGGCCCTAATAAGGAGTGAGGGTGATGGTGAGACATCACATGTATAGTGTTCTTCTAATAAAGGAAGCACCCAGTGACTCCCCTCACTGTACAGCTTCATTGCCAGAGGTAGGAAGACTGTCCTCACTTAGGATTCACTCTTTCTGTACCAGCCTGGTGGTGCCACCTCCTTCCCATCTCCCCTTTAGGGCAAGTAGACATCTACATGCCTTTCTTGGGGTCATGTGATTGCCAATGAAATGCTGGCTTCACACGGCCACCCCTGGGACAACTGCCCCACCCCCATGGATGGATTAATTACTGCCCCACCCCCACGGATGGATTAATTACAGCTCAAAGGATGACCTATTCCCTCCCATGAGCTCGGACCCAGGCAGAAGGAAACCCGGGCTGCTGCCCGCCCCCTGCTGCTCTCTCCCTTCAGCAGACAGTGCCACCAATCAGCACTGAGGGCCATGAAACCCACCGAGTCCCCTCTTCACTCAGACCTTAACTCAGAGGATGGCTTCAAAAGACTCCGCTGCCTAGCGCTTTAACTTTCACGTGCAGTTGCCTCTAGTCTGATCCCTGCTGCTACATTCGGACCTTTGGAACTGCCTGAGGACCCCTGGGAAAGGCAGCTGGTGAATGAGGTCTCTCTCTTCCTGAAGTCTCTAACCACTCAAGCCTCCATGATTTTCTTGCTCTAAACCCCAACATCTAAAAGTTGTTCGGGTCTCATACCTTAACAAGGCGGTGCTGGTGACATTGACGGGGACTCTGCCAGGCCAGTAAGCCACAGCCGGGACCCGGTGCCCTCCTTCCCAGGTGGTCTGCTTGGCTGAACTTCCCCCTGAGAAAGGACAGGAAGCAGTTGGTTCTTTGACTGACAACTCAGGTCTTCTCTTGACCTCGGAGCTAGCCTCTGGGACAACAGCCCCTCTCCAAGAGGACTCTCCGAGAGTTTCTGATGGTTATAGCAAAGGAGTGACTTCTTTTAGTAACCATCCATTTTTATTCAACTAGTTCATATCTTTCATTCTGTGCTTTTATTTTACTGGCCTCAACATACGTAAGCCGTTGCCTCAGTCACCCTTTATTCAATCACGTGACTTTATTTTTCGCACCTCACATTGTCCGGCTTACTGATTTGCTTATTGCGCATTTCCACACCATGAGATTTCATTGGTCTTTGGCACCCAAGACGTAGGTGCTTAACCAATGTTTGTTAAATACATGAACTTGTCTTCCTACTGATCACAATGTGATTGCCTGCTTTGGATGAAAAAATACAATTATTTGAGAAGAGAGAAAAGCAGAAACTTTCCCAGCTATTTGATCTGCCCAACGCCCAACAACTGATCTGGCATGGATTTTACTGTTGTATTTTGTTTTGCTTTGCTTTGCTTTGCTTTCTTTTCCCTTGAATTCATGAGTTGTTCTCATGTTGTGGAGACAAGCATTAGTAATAGCTCTGACCTCCTGCCTCTCGGGGGGAGGTAAGAACAATCCATGTGCAATCTATGAATTTCCACTTTGGTAACTAAAGGAATTCTTTTGGAAACCACTAAGTCAAAAATGACCACCAGGATAATGATGACCAGCGGGCTGGAAGAGATGAGGTCATGCTTTATGGAAACATCCTGAATACATGTTGCGTTGAATTAGCCATGACCATCCCCACCACTCCCACACACACCCCACCCTCATCCTGGCTGAGCCAAGGATTCCACAAACTTAGCGTGTAGAAAGCGCTGCCAAAGCAAACATGTATGTGGCTCACACACGCCGCGGTCATGCAACTTCCTGGCTTGGACGGCGTGGACGCGAAAGCAATGGTGAGGAGAAAGGGCAGTGAGGCCAAGGCTCCCGTCCTCTGCACTCACACCGACCCTTTGATGTCCCCGACCTAGGACGCCACACCGGAAATGCTCAGCCTTCCCGGGATTTTCTCAGAACCAGCTCTGGGGTCCTCCAAGTGTGGAAGCAAGAAACGAAAGAACTCCCCTCGTGAGAACGTTCACGTTTGGGGGTGCGGGGCTCTTGAAACCAAGTGGAGTCGTGCGGGCTGAATAGGAAGCTCTTTGTCCTGGCCCGAGAGTTATCAAATACGTTCTTCCCATCGAGAGCCACACTTTCCGTAAATACATGCAAAGCCCACTCCCGATTCCATGGAACAGAGAATCCAGAACTGCAGAAAGGACGAAACCATTCCCACACGGCTTTGGGGTGCAGGACTTAGGCCGCAGCTTAAGGCCAAAGGGCAGGGAGGAAGAAAGCATCTCCGATTGCACGTGCCAGGGCTCTGCCCATAATGCCACCCCCTTGAGGGGCATTTGTGCGGAAGCTTGGGGTGGAGGTAGGTGAGGGCATATATGAAGCCTGCTTATTTGCATGTCCACAGTGCACAAGATTCAGACAGACTTGCTGAGCCTTTGAGGTCAGATGCCAAGGAAAGGTGAAAGCTTCAGTTCCAAGAGATGAGCCAACAGTTCTGAGTGTTGACCAGGAGGCAGGGGTGCATGCCTACTGTGGTGGACAAGGGGCAGCAGCGTTGGCACACGGATGTCACCCCTGCCTCCAGGATGCTTTCAGAGTGGTACGCTAGCCCCTAATTAATAAGCCTGCTAACTGGTCTCCACCACTAGGGGTTCTGCTTGTTTGAAACAACCTTTTGTGTTGCTCTTCCTCGGGCGGTTGACTTCCCAAAGTCGTTTTTCAGAGAAAACCGTTTCAATATGTTCGCCTTATAAGCAGAGGGTTGAAAGCCGGAGGAGTTAGAAGGAATTTAGCCAGTTATAAAACATGTATATGTCAACCAAGTGAGCGGTCAGCAGGCAAAGATTCAGGAATGAAGAGAGAGAAAAAAGGCTGGCTGAGCAAAGCCCCGCAGCGTGTCCACCGGTGGGCTGTCCCCCTCTAAGTCATCAAGACTGACCAGCTAATGCTGGCTCCACGTGGGGTTCCGGCTTCAACAGAGAGACGTAACTATACACCCCAGCCACGGCCAAAGACCTGATGCTCTGAAAGAATTTATTTTAAAAATGTCCAGGGTGCAGGTCTTAAGTGTCCAATAATAAAAATACATATCCCTCCCAGTGTGGACACCATCTTACTCCACCAAATTCTTGTATCTATCTCAGTGGCACTGCTGGGGATGGACAAACTTAACAGCTCCAACCAGCATTCTGTCTGTGCAGGTCCCGCGGCTGTGGAGTCTGATGAGCAGAAACATCTATCGGTGCTGTCTGTGGTTTACCTGCACCGGCGAAGGCTGAATCCCAGGATAGCTTCCCCCGGTCCCCTAGGACTCTCCGGCTTAACAGAAACTCACTCCCAGTTAAATACCACGATAACCATAGCAATATCATCACCTATTTACTGAGCCCTTCCTAAGCACCAAGTTAAGCACTCCTAAACCTAATGCTAAGTCCTTCTTTGCATGTACCTCATGTAATCCTTACGGCAACCCTGAGGGCTAGGCCCATTTTTCAGATGAAGAAACAGAAGCTCAGAGAGGTTAAGCAATTTGCCCAAGGTCACACAGCTAACCAATGCCAGAGCCTGGATCTGAATCCAGGTTTAAGCGCACAGCCAGCATTACACCTTCTAGGACTGTGGTTCCCACCCATCTCTGAATGCATGTTAGAATCACTAAGGGAGCATAAAAAAATACTCATGCCAAAGCCCCTCTGCCCCGGAAATTGTGATTTAATTAGCCTGGCATGGGGCCTGGGTACCCATCGATATCTTCTAAAGCTCTCCTGGTGACTTAAGGTGAAGAGCAGCCATTTCAGGAAAGAGAACAGGAGCAGAACAGGAAGTAGACACAATGCACTTCAAACGTAAATGTAGCCTGCGCTTGTAAGCGCAGATTTTAATCGCCCACATCCTTATACCTTTAAGACATCAGATCATAAATACGGACCTGTAAGTTATAATGAAAACAATAGAAAAGTCCATAGCTTCTATGTACTTTTTGATTCTGAAAGCTTTTCAGTTTAGATCAGTGTTAAGACTTTGATCAGTGGCATTGGCACATTAGAAGCGTTGGTTAGATATGGCTTTCTATTGAGAGTAGCATGTCTTGGGGTCACGAGAATGCATTTCAACGCACTTGTGGTTAGTTATGGCTCTAATTAAGGCAGAACCTCTTACTTAGAGCAATAAATATTTAGCCTCAGCAACCAAAACATAAACAGAACCATGATTCATGAATTTGCTTCCTCGCTCTTCCCTGGCTACGGAAGTGAAGTGGCTGGCCTTCCCTGATGCATGGGGACAGGGCAGGCTGAGGAAGACTCACCCAGCCTACGCTTAGGAACAGCAGTCTGTCCCAGAAAGGACACAAGAGTCACACTGACAGACAGGGTAGCTCGTAAGGAGGTTCACAAACGTCCCAGTACAGCAGAACCACTGAGAGAACCCCAGCAATCCTGATTTCATGAGTCCGGGGTGGAACAGATTCTAGGTGACTCCGACGCCAGGGTTCTGAGGGCCAGAGTTTGAGAAATGTTAGGAAGTAGGAAGTAGGAAGAGCCTTTGGAACAAGGCAGAACTCAGGTCTAGCTCTAAGGCCCCCCCTTCTCATCGTGTGGCCTTGGGCAGCGTTCTTACCCTCCGTCAGACGCCATCTCCTCAGCCATGAAGGGGGAAAATCATTGTACTTATCTCTTGGGGTTGTGGGAAAAGTTACATTAAGATAACGTAAACTAAGTTCGGAGCAAGGTCCTTTGGCACAGTGCCTGCCATGGAAGGGCCCAAACAAACGCCATCCAAAAAAACAAAGACCAAAGAACAAACAAACAAAAAAATTACCTACAGAGAGAGGAGAGCAGAAGTTGCAATGTGGCAGCTCACACACTGAACTCAGCCCTCTGACGTTTGATTTGGAATGGATTTTTTTTAACTGACATTGAATGTGATTAGACAGGACTCTGTTCTCCAGTTTACTGCATCCCTGGCACTGCCCACACTGATGAAAATGAACATGTGTTCACTTTTATCACCTGCCTGGCCCACAAAGGCATTCGTATTTGTGACTCGGATGGAAGAACATGCCTGTTCTGAGGAGTGCACATTCTATAACCTTCTAAAGCAGCAGGCTTCGTTTCTAAATATAAATATGGGCCCTTGCCAAGGATGCCCAAAGCACACTAGTTTTCTAGAAACACAGGGCAGCCAGGCCTCTGTTGAGACCAAGGACTCTGGCTGGCCTGAGGGGTGGTCTTGAATGTGATGATAGGAACATTTCAAGTCTGGTGGCCCTAAAGGACACGCAATTCAACTTCTACTGGGTCCCTACCAGCTGGCCCTGCCCCAAACCAGGACCAACAGCCAACATCTCTTGTTCCTTGCTCCCTCACCCACCTCACCTCTGACCTTTCTCAACCCCACCCCTTACCCCAAACTGGACAGAAGGCCTGGGATGCAGGGCCCACTTCCCAGTAGGAAAGGTTATGCAACAACCTGATAGTATCAAATTACAAACAACCAAGGTCTCCTAGAAGCTGAGGATGCCAAATTCAACAGAATGTTTCCTCATCACCAGAGGGGAGGAAGGAACAGTTCTGGTCTTCAAATAAAACAAGAAAAAGACTTTCCAGACAGAGGAGCAGTCACTTAGGGGACAAACAAGGTGTTGGTTCTGTCCTGGGTAGGAAATGGGTCTGGAATGGGGAAAGGGACGGTCGCTCTGAGCCAGGCCTGAGCTGGGGCCCGTGGGCTTGGGGTCGGCGGTGGGCAGACACCTCACGTCCCCTTTGTTTGAGAGATGGCAGGGCCGCTCCGTGTGGTCCCCCGCTCCCCAGTTCGGCTTTGCCTCACCCCTGCAGGGTGCAAGCTGAGCCCAGGGGAGCACCCTCACGCCTGCACGGGGTAAAGAGATGACTCCAGGAGACGCTGCCTCATCCCCTCAGCTGAGCGAGGCAGCCTGGCCAGGAAAGGAAGGGGAAGACAAGGAGGGGGACCTGGGGGGCTGGGAACAGCGGAAGGCAGCACGTGGCCTGACGTAGCAGGCTGGCTGCAGGGAGGAAGAAGCAAGGCTCCGAGGACTGTTTGTCCCACTCCGTTGCGAAAACATTGTCTTCTCTCTCTCATCGGCTCTCGAGACTGGCCCCCTTACAGCAGGATGTGCAGACATCCCACTGATGAGGAAGCTGGGTGAGGAGGAGCAGGTGGTCCAGAAGGACCCCCAGCCCCCTCTTGACTGGAGCCCTTGGCCACACCCCTTCCACGCGGGGCTCTGCCTGGCTTCCCAGAGCCCCCAGCAGCATTCTGGGCAGAGAAGAGGAAAAAGTCTGTGGAACAGTTGACAGGAAGCTGGTCCAGAGAATGAGGAAAGGGAAGTGTTTACCCCTAGGCAAAATTTGCCTTCAGGACCTCCTGAGAAACGAAGAACACGGATCAGCCCCAGCCCCACCATGAATTCAAGTGCTGTGCCACTCAGATACCACATCGAGCCGTGACATCCGTGCAAGGCCTTGCCCCGCGAAAGACTGTTATCTAGAGATAACTGAAATCCAGCTTCGGAGCGAAGTTTCCCAGGACAGAGGCCCAGAGCTCCTGGAAAGTCACCACGTGTTCTTTACATTGCCCGTGTCCTTCGGTAGGAAAAATCTCTTTCCGGGCATTTTCTGATCCCCGTCACATGCTTCTCTTCGTGGGGTAGCCCCACTTTGTTTCAGCTGCGAGTAAAGAAACAGAGTCTTGTGGGGGTTAGTGGGGGCCGAGTGCAAGGCCGAGTGCTGCCCAGGCAACATCCCAGCTGATGCTCCCAGCAGCCCAGCAAGGTGGGTCTGCCGCCCCAATTCACAGAGGAGAGAGCGGGCTGAAACGGAGCAGGGGGCCGAGGGGGCCAGGTCCCAAGCTGAGTCGAGATTCGAGCCTGACCTGGGCCTCCAAAGCCATTCGCTCTTTCCCCCTCTGCATTCTGCCTCCCATGGACTGAGAAAGATTCAGACTGACTCAGGGGCTACACATTTTCCTTGACCACCACAAGGGCCAGAGAAGCAAAGCAGGATTCTCCGGATGGCCGAGTCGTCAGGTAGAACAAGGCGCGAGTCATAACAATCGTGGTGGGGAATGAGTGTGGCAGGGGGCGGGGGGGAGACAATGTGACCCCCTTCGTTATTTGGCCTCAGTTTCCTCATCTGGCCTGGAATAAAGATCACTGAGGTCTCCACCAACCCTGGCATTCTTCGAATGCAGGGAAATTCCCGGAGATTCTGTCACTCGCTGCTCTCGCTTATCGCCCTGGGCTTGTGACATTAGAGGGGTCTTTAAAAATTGAACCATGCGCCAGGAGGAGTGAGAAATGGGGGGCGTGTTTAGAGTGTACGAGGTTTTCCTGTGGGGTGCTGAAAGAGGACCTCCACGGAGGTGATAGTCATACAACACGGTGAACGCGCTAAACGCCGCTGGACACGTTCAAACGGCTGATTTCACATCACGTAAATTTCACCTCCATTTTCAAAACTGAATAAGGTCGTTCTGACTCTTAAAATCCCGCCGTGAGTCCGTTTTCCTTTAGAATTAAGGCCCAAAGTGTTTGCCTGAAAGAAAAGACCTTTCTGTGCTGGCCCCGGCTTTGCCTTCGGCCTTGTCCCTCTCTGCTCGGACCTGCTCCCGACGAGCTGCACACACAGGCAGCTGTGCACCTCCTGCTCGCTTCTCCCCGCCCAGGTGGCCCAGAGCCCTCTCTCCTGCAAATCCCTGGCTGTTCCTTCAACACCAACCACTCGGGGAAGACTTCCTGTTTCCTCTCCCGCTGAGTGAGAGGCCCCTGTGCTCCCTGCTGTCACGGAGTCCTTATCCTGTATTATAATGACCCGCTGATGTGTTTGCTCCCAGCACGGTCCAGTAGAACTTTCTGCCACGATGGAAATGTTTTATATTTGCACTATCCAATAGGGTAGCCACCAGCCACATCTGGCTTCTGGGCCATTGAAGTGTGGCTCGGGAACTGAATTTTCACTGCTAATTTTCACCCAGAATTCGCACTGCTGACAAATTCTCGGGTTGTACTGATGCTGCCGGCGCTGGGCCCGCATCTTCATAACCGCTGGTCGAGACCTGAAAGTTCTAGACTCGGATGACACTAGAATCAATACGGTCTAGATGTGGATATTCGAGGCTGGTGGTCCTCAAAGTGTGGTCCCTGGAAGCAGCCGTGTCAGCGTCACCTAGATGCTTATCGGAAATGCAACACCTCCATCGTTGTCCCAGACCCGCCGGGTCAGAGCTGCATTTTAGCAGCTCCTCCGGGGACTGTCTGCACATTAAAGCTTGAGAAACACTGCTCTAGACTGTCACTCCTTAAAGCCAGGCGCTTTGTCGGTCTTTGTGTCCCCAGCACTGAGTACAGTTCCTGGCACATAGTAGGTGCTCAGGCAATGGAAGGAAAAGAGAGATGTAAGTTGCCCAGCTTGTCAATATGCTTCTCATAGGCCAAGGCTGTTCCCTCAAAGAAGGAGCCCCAGTCCCTGTCCTTAAACCGGTTCCACTATGTCAAAGCTGCCCCATAAGGGCGGGAAGGGAGACAGGATAAGGCAGATCCTCAAACAGAGGGGAGGTCGAGATTGGAGGTCATCTTTGGGAAACAGCGAACTCCCCCACAGAGGAGCTACTTACTGAGAAACCCTCACCCTTGATCTCCAGGCCTTCTGGATTTTTATCCTTGAGAGTTTTGATTCTAGGCTTTCCAGCTGGACACTGACAATGGCAGCCTGGCCCGAGGGTGTCTCAGGCGCAGAGAGGAGGAACTGCCATCAGCTGGAGCAGAGAAACACTCCGGGCCTAGACGGTATTTCTCTAGGCTGTTTTTGCAGGTGTGTTTGCCCCCACTTCCAGTCCTGGCATCTTTTCCTGGTCTAGCACTCCAGGAACCAGAACCAAATTACAGCCTTCCTGAGCTGGAGAGAACCACAGAGATCGATATGTGGAGAGAAACACCACCCCTGGGAGATGAGGTGCCTGCTCACCGTTCAGGAGAAAGGGGGCAGCACCCACTTCTCTGACTCCCGACTCGACCTTCCTGACACAGAACGTGGCCATTGTCCCGGCAGCCACTCATTTGTAAAGCTCTCCAGGGATCTGATCCAAGGGACACCAGGTTAAAGTTGATAAATAAAATGGAATGACGAGCGAGTCCACCTGGCTCCCAGCCACAAGGAGCCCACATATGTGGGCCAGGCCCACGTAGGACCGTTCCTGTTCTAGGGACCTAGAAATATTCTACCAGACTAATATGAAAGGTACTTTGTGTCCTTTGACCTGGACAGCAGGGGGCCACAGATCAAGAGCTAGCCAGACAGCAAGGAAACCCAGCCCCAGGGGATAAACTCGCCGAGTCTACTTCCAAACCCCTTGGATATAAGCACCTTTTTAAAAAATCTGTTTTCATTTTGGGGGGGATACAAATAATACCAGTTCGTGGTGGGGAAAATCAACTTAAACCTTCCCGCCACTACCCCGAAGGAATTACTGCTCATCTTTTGTTACTTGTGTTGCCCTTCTCAACATTCTCCTGAGAATATGGATGTTTATTTTTTATATAATAAAATTATACTTTAGATGTTGTTTTGTAACATGCTTTATTCACTGACAAGTATTTAATGTAAATGTTTCCAGGTCAATACTACCCAGCATTTCGGTGGTTCCTTAGTATTTCTTTAAGTGGATGTATCATAATCTCTTTAATACTCCTCTGTTGTTAGACCCTCGGTTTTATAGAAAACTACTAAAAAAAACCAAACAAACAAAAAAAACACTGCAGTGAGCACCCTTTTACATACACCATTGTGCACTTGGCTAGTTATTTCTTTAGGACAAATTCTTAAAGGAGGAATTGAAGCGTCAACAGGCATGCGCCTTTTTCAGGCTTTGGTCCATGATGCCAAACTGTCCCCAACATGGCTGCTCGCTCAGAAAGTGAAAGGCCTTGGGAAGAAAAGTGCTCAGAGCAGATGGGCGCTGGGCTGGGAGCTGAAGGGTGTTTAAGCAGAGAAGGCCAGTGCGCAGCGGGGTGATCAGCACCTTTAACTTTGGCAGCGAGCCTGGCTCGCGCCTCACAAACTGTGTGGTCTTGGGCGGGTTGCTTAGCCCCTCCGAGCCCCTCTCTCTCTTCACCTGTAAATGACGATGAACCTACCTTTCGTGACTGTAGGATTTAGAGAACATGGATATGGAAACCTTCAGTAGGTGTGCACTACATATTTCTTGAATGGATGGAATGAACTAATGGTTGGATGGATGGAGAGATGACGTCTTAAAAAAAAGAAGGAAAGGAGGAGTGAGGGCAGCAGGATGAAAGTCGAAGGAAGCACCGTGGTTGGAAGGTTGGTGGACTGGCTTGTCCAGAGGTGGCTGGTCCCCAGAGAGAGACCGAGGAGGAAGGAGAGAGAAGGATGCTCCGGGCTGAACACACACTCTCTCCATCCCAATTAGTTTCTTCTCTGCCTCTCTGAATGGCTCACCTGGTGGCTGGCGGGCAGCTTGTCCCTGTTTCACAATGATGTCCTAAGGCCTGTATAGGACATGATCCTCCCAGAGGCAGAATCCCCAGTCCCGGCCTGGGCCCAGCTTCGGCAGGGGGATGCCGGCCAGGCCTCTTACCTTGACGAGCTTGCCACGATCCAGTGAAGGGGCCCACGCTGCCCGCCAGCTCACATTTCTGAGCCCATGGGCCGTTGTCTCCTAGAAACCAAAAGAAGCAACATGTAACAGTCAACAGGCCGGTGGACACGTTCACTAGTTCTCTCTCTCTCTCCCCACATCCCAGGCACGGCAGGGGACTGCCTAGGAGAGGGACTTTGTGGAAACAAATGCGACTCTACCCTTGAAGAGCCACCCTTCAGATGAGGCTCTGCTGGGCTCTCAGAGACGTGGGCTTCCCCTCCCCCAGCTTAGCCTCGTCTGGAGGTTCCTGCCTCACCCACTTGGAAGTGTGGGGTTAGCACTTCCATCACTGCTACTATTGACTGAGCACCAAAGATGTGCCCAGGACTTCACATCCATCATCTCGTGGTCCTCCGAGATGCTATGGATGAGATTCTACTGTTAGCTTAATTTTGTGGATGAGGAAACAGAGGTTTAGAGAGGTTGACCTTCCCAACAGTAGCACGTAGCTACAAAGCCACGTCTCTACGCACCCCAAAGGCAGTGCTTTTAACCACTGCCCTTGTCCAGACAGGGACCTGCCCCCTCACACCACCCCGCCCCCCCCCAGCCACAATGCCTGTGTGGGCCCTCTAAATGGCTCACTAGTTCAGCTCCACTCAGCTAAAAGATGTGGCCTGGTGACCGGTGGCAACCGATGTCTTTGGGACTAGGAGGATGGTAAAGAGGGAGTCTCAGAACAGCTCGAGGACTACACGGGCTCGCAGCGTCGAAGTCATTCATTAACGATTAAGAGCAATACCCAGATGGCCCTAACCAGCACATGGGGGGCCAGCAGGGTACCTGCTCTCTCTGGGCAAACCTTTCCAGGGGCTCAGCCTTGGAGGCCCCAATGGACAGGTGCTCAGCATTCAAGCCAACAAACACCAGTAGGGCCCTAAGTTCCAAGCAAGCCCCCCACCCCATTAAAGAGGATCACTTGATGAGCCTCTGTTCTCCAGGGGCCACGTGCAGGGTTATCCATTAGATCTCTGTTAGGCTGGCCGGTTTTGACTACTTTACCTATAAACCAGAGGAATGTGTTTTCCTTGGCTGTGCAGTCAACTTTGTCTTTGATTTGACCCACCAGGCTGTCCATCTCCCGGAGGCCTGCAGCATATGGCGTGCGGCCCCGCAAGTCTGCTGATAACTGGGTCCTGGTTAAAGGCACGTGCATGTGGGCCAGGCCCACGTAGAGCAGGAAAGGTCTTCTGCTGGTGCTGGAACAGGAAGCCAAAAGGTCACACTCCAGAAGGCTCTCTGCCTTGTCCAGGGTCTCTCTCTTGCCTCAGAGAAAACCCCCAGAATACCTTCTGCCTCATGCGTTCAGGGAGTGCGCATCTGTCTAGAACCTTCCTAGGATATGTGGAGATCATCTGGTTAGCCAATGAGAACCTGAGAGGAACTGTAATAATCGTTACTGTTCTTTAACATTGACTGTGAGCTTGTTAAATGGGACGCATGTTGTTTAAATTCATTCTCATAAGAACCCCACATTCCCTTCTTCAGGAGAAGCTTCAGAGGCTTAGGGAGACCAAAGGACTTGTCCAGGGTTACACATTAATGAGTGACAGAGTCTGGATTCCAGCTGACATCCAGCGGAGAATAAAGCCTTTGCTCTTAACTGCTGCACTCTAAAGTCCAGTGCAAACATATTTTTAAATTTTAAAATCTGCTCTCTGCAACATCCAGGCCATCATATCCATTCCCAGACTCAGCTCTTCCTAAGAGATGAATGAATGACTCACGTTGACCACAGGAAATGCCAAGCATGCACATGACCGCCTGAGAACATCTAGATAAAGGGTCTATTAGAGACCCAGGTGCCCAGCCACCTACTCTAACCCTGAAGACTCCACTGGCGGTGTGTTGGGAGCTGGGTGGACTCTGCTTCCTGTCTGTGCCCCACCCCCATTCCCAGGCAAAGAGCAGGATCGAGGGCAGCTGCAGAACCACCTCTCTCCTCCTGCAGCAGGGATCCTGGGTCTCTCTGGCATGGGCTGTTGCAATAGCCACTCCCCCCCACAGTTCACCACCCACCTCTGGGCCACGGTGGTACAGCCTTGTGCCTCCTCTGATCACAAGTCCTGGATCACTTCATCCTCCCTGCCCCTTACAGTACTGATCGGTGTCGATAATACACCTCCACTAAAACCAACTTCTTACACACCTGTTTCCCCACTAGCCTGGGAGCTACTCAAAAGTGGTTAGGTCAAGTCCCTCCCTCATCATTCATTCATGCAACGAACATTTATTAAGAGCTCCAACTAGGCCCCAAGAACGAAGGATAGAGTGACAAACGTGATAGATGTGATTTCCACCTTCTTGGAGCTTAACAACCAAATGGGACCATGAGGGAGAAAAATGCAACTAAAAAAGTCCATCAGATCATTATTTACAAATGAGAAGTGTGATGGGGTGAAATTCGGGTGCTGGGTCAGGGGAGGCAAACTGAGCTTGGGGGAAGGAGAGGGGAGAGATCCCCAAGATACTGGGGTCTGAAGAACGAGGGGCTACAGGTGGGCTGTGCTGATGGCCACTCAAGGCAGACGGAACGGCACTGGGGCGAGGCCACGGAGGGAAGGCCTCGGGTCCCACCGCTTCGCCATTCCTTGGTTCGTTCCTTTCCTCGCTCGTTATTCATCCAGATATTCAGGTGGGAGAAAGATGAAGGAAGAAGAATGAGAATGGCCTTCTAGCTGGCCCCAGAGCCCCAGGCAGACGCAGGGTGCTGGGGCTCAGGTGTGAGCTGGGCGAGGGGAAACGTGGAGGGGCAACGCCACACGGGGAGGCACAGACCAGCATGCAGGGGAGCCCTGAGGGGAAGGGCCTGAGCCAAGCAGCAGAGGGAACCGAGCCCTTGACGCGGGTCCGAGGCTCCAGCCCAGAAAGGCAGGGCGCATCTTTCATCGGGCACCTGCAGGACCTGGTCCTAAACGGCGAACGCGCTGGAATGTTGACTGTGCTCTCTGGCTGCAAACATCCTGAGCTGCTGCTCATACCTGTGGCCAACACCCTCATCCCTGTCACACTCTTACCCCTTATTTGGCTTCAGCGCACAGTCTCAGACCCTGTAGGGAGCAGAGGCCCGGCTGGCTGTGACCCAGGAGCCATCTGCTCTCTCTGTTTTTGCCAATTCAGAACTCTGTCTGCTGCTTCAAAAACCCAAATCAAGGATTAGCTTTCAGTGTCCCTGTTGGTGAAGGGGTCTCAATTCAAGTAAAGATCTGAGTAAAACTTTTGAAGAAGTCCTAGGGCGGGTCCCTTGCTGAGAGAGCAGGATGCCATACTCTAGGGACCCTGGTAGCTTTGCCACACAGGTCCAGGTGGGGGCGGGGCCACGTGGGGTCGGAGGTCATGGAGGAGAAAGGAGCACAGGCCTGGGGGCCTTTTCTGCTGACACTCCAAACACCGCGAATGAACTGGCAAGTCGAATCCCAAAGAAGTCAGCATGCCTGTTACGTTAAAAGCCAGTGGGATGCATGTGACTTTTCACTTAATAACTAATTAACAAATCAGCAAACTCTTTACCTTTTTCACGTGATAAAGGGAGTGTTGATTTGTCTGTCTTTTAACTGATTAACGGAGCGGCGGATAAACAGCACCACGCTCACTTCAGAGAGAGCAGTAAACAGTCCCTGGTCCCCGGCCAGCTGCCACTGCTCCCTCTGAGGGCGCTGTGCTGTTAGAGGCTCCATGAAGGCAGAGGTGGCCAGCACCACCAGCCATGAAGCACTCACCTGTCACGGGCCACAGGGCCTGAAACCACCTCAGAGCTCCAGGGAGCTCAACCCTCCTGACGGGAGAAGGGCCTTTCCCCTTTTCCTACCAGCTGCCCGAACGGAAGCCAGTGTTTTTCAGAAAGCCCCAAGGAACTGGTCAGATGCCGTCTCTGAAACTCCATGGGGCTTCTCTGCAGATTTAGGCCTTAAGTAGGTTTTATATATATATAAAATATACATATGTATTTTAATGCCTACAGCCCCTGGTCTTCCCAGGTGGTCTCCCATCCAAGTATTAACCAGGCCCGACCCTGCTTAGCTTCCGAGATTAGACAAGACTGGGCACGTTCAGGGTGCCATGGCTGTAGGCAGGTTTTATTATCAAGAAAACATGGATGGATCTGCTACCATGCTGCCTCCACCCTCCCCGCTGCCCTTCTCTCTAGAAAAGTCCAACATGGTTGAGCAAGAGGCTAGGGGGTTCTTGCCGTTCGAGGAGCTGGTGCGATCCATCCCTTTTTAATTCCACACAAGTGGGCAGGCGCGCGCTCATTTTTTCTTCCCCATTTAGACTATATCTGTGGAAAATACTAAAGGACGTACTGGCGACTGTTCCGCTGTCCTTGAGGAGCTTGCACTGGGACAAGGATGAGAGGAACACACGAGGGATCATTAGAGGGCAGCAGGAGGGCAGCTGCAAAGGGCCAGGACATGGCCTGAGGTGGCGGGGAGGAGTGACTGCATGCGCGCACACACGGGCGTGTGCGTGCGCCCCCATGGTCTCTGTGTGTGCACCCAAGGTGAGTGCACCCTATTTGGGAGTGGTCCACGCTTTCATAACACCCACTCTCTGCCCTGACCTGACAGAGGTTGCGAAGCAGCAGCCCTCACACACGTACGACTTGTTAGACATGCCCTGTGCTATGGTTCTGCTTTTTGTTATTTTTAATTAGTCGTTTCTAACATTGAAAGATCAGGAGATTTCACTCAAGGGCCAGGTCTCCTGTCTTGTGAAGTGGGAAGCCACGACAATCCTGGCTCCCATTCCCACAAAGAAGCAACAGGCAGCTGCAGCCAGGTAGCCACTGCCCACCTTATATGGGGAATGTGCGTTCAAGTTTACCTCAGGCCCCACCATTCCCTAATGCCTTATGCGCAGCCTGCTTTCCTCTTGAAAGCTACCTACCTGGGCTCTGTAGATGCTGGAATTTGTAAGCCCTGTGGGTTACACTGAATAATAGCCCCCAAAGTTATCCAGGGTCTAAACTCTGGAGTCTGTGTTACCTTACATGGCAAAAGGGACTTGGCAGAAGCATAATTAAAGATCTTGAGGTTGGGAGATTATCTCGGGCTGTCCTGGTAGACCCTAAATGTAATCACAAGTGTCCTTATGGAAGGAAGACGGAGGGAGATTTGACTACAGAGAAGGAGAAGGCGAAGAGACAGCAGAAGCAGAGATAAGAGAAATGGGGCCACGAAGCAAGGCGGCCAGCAGCCACCAGAAGCTGCAAGAGGCAAGGAACGATTCTGCCCCAGAGCCTCCGGAAGAAAACAGCTCTGCCGACGCCTTAATTTTAGTCCCTACAACTCCAGGTCTATAGGAGAATAACCTGCTGTTGTTTTAGCCAATGCGTTGGTGATAAGTCTGTTACGGAAGCAATAAGAAACAAACACACCCTGCCAACTAATAAACTCGACCAATGCCCGAGGGCCCGGAATACAGCGGACAGACCCTGCCCAGCAGGAACATGGGTAAGCCCAGGGACGGTGAGAACACGCCTGCTTTCCAGCTTTGTTTACAGGAGAGAGGCAAGCATGCATCTCTGTTCGACAGTTGGAGTCCACCATGGCTTTGCAGAGTGCTCAGGCCAGGGGACGTGGTGGGCGGGAGTGGGGGCACCCCTGGGGCCAGAGCCCCCCTTACCTGGCACGCTGGATGAACTGAGTAGCTTTCTCGGCGTACTTCTGCGCAAGGCTGCTCAGGTTCACGGGCTGCTCCACGATGCTCAGGTTTTCGTACAGAGGGAGGGCCACGTCGGTGTAGCAGTCCCTGTCAGTGCTCCTGGGTGGAAACCACAGACGGCAGAGTATTCATCTAAGTAGTTACAGGATAGGAGGAAATGCTTTAATGCAGCGATGCACATAAATACAAAACATCGAATAGCCTGGCGTCAAACGGTTCTTCTAGTCGGCCATTTCCTCCAAGTGTAAAATCAATATAATACCTTCTTCCATTCCCTTCGAATAGATGCAGACGCTCCTTGGACAAGCCTGGCCATGCTCTAAGGTTCACAGAGACTTTTCTGAGCTGGACACATTATTACCCCCATCTTGCTGGGAGAGAGACCGAGGTCTAAACAGACTATGTTACTCGAGCAGAGTCCCCATAGCCAATCAGTAGCCCATCCTTGGCTTTTTCCACTGTCTTCCCTAAATGATGACTTCTGTCTGTGGGGTGCTACTTCATGTGACACGACATCTGACAACAGGACAGATAGCCAGGGATAGTTTTTAAATCTCAAATCATGTTTAGAGAATTTGAAGAAACTTTAGCAATTGAAAACAAGTTGGCGGGCGAACCAATACTATCTCCCAGAAAACTCAAGCTCGGCCCTTGGTGTTACAGATCGAAATGAATCTGTCGCAAGAATATTTCATCAGTGTGGCTGAGAAATCACTCTGGCCATGACCTTGACTTTTCTTATCTGAAGAATGGTATTGCCCTTGTTACAGAGGTAATGGAAAAACTAAATGAAATAACAATGGTTAGTGCTTTTTACACTGATCAATATTCTAAGAACTCAATAAAAACTCAAGCCCTCTGTCTGGGAGAGAGATAAAAGCAGAGGTAACAGGAGGCCTTTCTGGTCGAGAAATGTTCCTCATGGTACAGGGATGGATTTGGGAGAAAATAAGCCCCTGTCCCACTATTGAAATCCAGATAAATACCTGCCTCACACAGTGGATTGCAGATAAGGATACAGAATGCCTGGAATGTATCAATTTCTCAATAAATGGCCATTATTATATTAACCGTTGTGTTATTAATGAGCCAGCTGAGACCTGTTTTCCCCAAGCTCAATCACCTGTAACCGTATAAATAACCACAGTGTGGTCTGAACCTGCAGAGCATGTGGTTTGCGTTGCTTTATCACCCGAACACGGTTTATCACCTTCTTCTGATAATGAATGTTTTGCATGCTCATTAAAGAATTATGGAAAATGCAATGAGAAAGGCAAAAAAATGAAAACCCCTAATCCCGTAACTAGAGTGAATGACCCATTGTTAACCATTTTGGCATAGTTCCTTTGAGTCTCTCTTGATAGGGCTGTAAAGGCATAAATAATACAGAGACAGTTAAGGTCACACTGTTGATGATTTATTTCCTTTTTTTTTTTTTTTTTTTTACTTACTATTATATTGTGAGCATTTCCCCATTTCATTGAATATGTTTTTAAAACATCCTGTGTGGTGCTTGCATGGCACTCCAATGTCAGAATGAAGGCTGAGGTGGAGCTCGTAAGGAGCCCTGTGCACTTTCTGTCTCTCTCTAGCCCTCCTTACGTCCAGCGTCTGGGCCAGGTGAATGGCCCAGGAGCAAAGCCAGCGGGCAAAAGAGGAGGGGAGCCCCACCGACGTGAGGCCGTGGCAGTACCGAGCTCTCCCCAGCTGAGCTAAACCGTCCAAGGAACCGAGGAAATTGCAATAAAAGAATTGTGTCGACCTCATATCTGCTAAAAGTTTTGTTTTTTTTTTTTGCACTTTTCTTTTGCTGTCTCAACTGTGCACCGTCAGCCTCTCTCATTTCCTCCTGATGGAGACACTCTAAGGTTTTCGCCTTGCTCTGGAGCCCATAACCAATTACCTTGCTGGTCTCTCACCCTGTGGACACGCCGGACAAGGAGGGAGGTTGTAGCCTGGGGTATCCGTGCAGCCCATATCATGGCTGTATGGGATCCCAAAGTAGTAATCAAAACCTGGAAGAGAGGCCACTGGTTAGCACCCCACCTGGCTTCTGTCCTATGAGCCTGCATTCTTACACCCGGGACGAAAATTTAATTTTCCATGATTTAATACTGCAGTGCTGTGGAGTACGTAATTAAAAGAGGATTTGATTCATATCCCTTTGTAGTATGCAAAGAAAACATTTTGCTGGGTCCTGGCTGTAAGATTAGATTTACAAAACGTCTCATGATTAGTTAACCCAGAGTGGGAGAAAGTAGAGAGAATTAATACACACTTAACCATTCCCAGTGCAACTACTGACACATTTAAGAAGTAATTGGTGAAAATCTAGTATATGCATGATACTTTGAGGAATAAAAGAATAAATTCGGACCTCAAAAGACGTCCTATGTGATGAGAAAGTAAGATATATAGATTCAGCTGTAAGAGATCGATAATCAGTAAGCCAACAAGATTGATCAGAGGACCAAAGTGCCCCCAGCTGGGGTGGGGTTGGGGTTGGGGCAGAAATCTCAAAATGCTTCTCGTAAGAGACAGCATTTCACCTAAGATTCAGAAGGCTGGCGGGACTAGGCTTGGGGCAATCGGGTGGCAGTGAGGGAAGGAAGGAGGTGAGAGTTAAATCAAGACCTGAATACGTCATGTTGGCTTTTTTCTGAAATCCTCTGGACCTCACAGCGCCAAAATGTTCCCTGGGATGAGGTCAGGGAGGAACGAGGTCAGGGAGAACACGGATGGACTCCAGATGGCGAGCCAGAGGGCAGAAAGGAACCAAGGAGGGGGACAGGAAAGATGCCAGCGGAGAGGGCCATGAGACCTAGGGGTGCCCGGGGTACCCAAACGCACCCAAGTGACACTGTGAGCAAAGATGTCCTAACTTCGGAGAGATGCCCACAGAGCAGGATGGCTTAAATGTTAACGGGGCCCTTTTACACAGAAGTCTTTATTTTCTGTTCCCCAAAGAATTCTTACCACGGAAGTAGGGATGATAAGAGCTGTGATGCCCAAGATGCCATTTGCCTGTAGGAAAACGAGAGAGACACTTTCAGAGGAATCCCCACGGGGGCTTCTCGGTCCCTCTGGGGAGCTGATCACGCACCCAGTTCTCCATCGTCATGGCCCTTTACTGTGGACAAGCAAAGGGAGGCTGAAGACACCTTGTGAACGCCAATCCTCGCTCTCTGGGACCGAGAGGGAGTGCACAGGAAGACAGAGAGCAAGCCAGGATGACGCCAGGTACCCACACGGGAGAGACAGGCCATTACCGGGAGCCCCTCAAAGAGGTTTCCCTGCACAGAGCAACCCCACATAACCCACCGCTCCCTTCACTCTGCCCTCCTGGGCTGGGGCCCTGCGAAGGTGTGGCCCAGGGTACAGGTGCATGCCCCACATAGTCTCAGAGATACCCGGGTCCCGCCTGGTGTTATCGCCTTCCTCTCTGGCCGACATCAGCAGCCTGCAGAAGCTGAACACAAAACTGCCTCCCGCTGCAGTTCAAGTGCAGAGACACCCAGCGAGCCAGCACATGGAGAAACAGACACACTGCAGCTCCTCGCTCTGTAAATGCTTAAGGTCCGGGGAGAATAACTGGCAAGTGTGCCAAGAGCTCTGATAATGTTGGAATTCTCTGGCCTGCTATTTCTGCTCTAAGTAAAGACCCCAGGGAAGTCGCCCGCAAGGCAAAGGGGCAAAGAAATGAATGTGGTACAAAGATCTAAACAGTCGGACGATTGTCGCAGTCCTGTTTGTCAGCACACCCTCCTTCGCCACGTCACGTGTGGAGGAGAGGCAGGAACCCCACTGGACCCAGCTCTCAGAGAGTCGGAATAACAAGCACGGGCAGCCTGAGGATGCTACTGCCATGGCTGGGTTGTCTCAGCCCCTGGAGGGGACACCGGCAGTGAAGCAAAGCATAAGGACAAGGCTGAACCAGACACACCTGTCTACATCCACCTGCTCCAGGTGAGGCAACACTGCACAAGTCTCTTCAATGTCTGAAACTCAGTTTTCTCACATGGTCAGTGGGGGAAATCATAAACTTAGGAGGCACCGGGTTATCCTGATGCATTTAAACACTTAGCCCAGGGCCTGGCACAAAAGAAATACCCAGGAAGAGGCGTTTAGGAAAACTGAAAAGAGAAGGAAGCGGTTGGAGAGTGTGGCGGACGCAGCTGGCTGCCTGCCCCGCACCCATGTCTACACTCATCCGGCTCAGAGACCTTCGGTTTTGTTCAGTCCAAGTCATTCGTTATAATCCCGATCCTCAGCTCCCGCCGATAAGATTCAAGGGCATTTCCGGGGCTGAGAAGACTTGCTTTCCTGATAAAAGTGAACAAACGGGGCTGGCCTCCCCTGTCTTTTTCCTTCCTTGAAACCCAATTATGGTGAGTGGTACCGAAGCCGCCATAGTGCAGCCATGAGGCAACTCACGAGGACAAGAAAGAAACGATTTCTCTGAGCGGCCAAGCCGGTGAGAGCGAACGCTTGCCTTTAAGCTTGTTACAGTGCGGGAAAACAGCTCAGATATGGTTTATTCCATGGTTAGCTGTTTTCAATTACTTATCACCGAAAGCATTCCTAACTTATACAGCAAGAAATAAACAAAAACGCACACACGAGCAGACGAGGTGGCAGCGTATTAGGGCTACACCAACACGAAGCAGCCGGCACAGTAAATGCAGCGGGAGATGGGACCCCGGGCCTTGGGGCGCCAGTGTTACCTATCATTCCGGTGACATAGCCCGCCTGCTGCAGCACCTCGGCCAAGGTGGTCTCGTTGAGTGGCAGGCCCCCCACCGAGGTGACCGCAAAGTTGTGCGTGACTCCATTGCGAAGGCCGAGCCGCCCGGTGAGCAGGGACGCCCGGGAGGGTGAGCATGTGGAGGCGGCCGCGTGGAAATCCATAAATCTGCACGGAAAAGACAGTGGCGGAGATCTCGCCAGCCGCAGGAAGCCAGGCCGAGGGAAAATTCAATTCCCACTCTGTCCTTGAGATTCCAGTGCTGGGAAAAAGCTCGAAGGTCACCCCGTCCCAGAACAGGTAAAGAAAAGGAAGCCCAGAGAGGTAATATGACTCATCCAAGGTCACACAAGTAATTCAAATCGATTTAATCCCACGTACTCAGTTGGTCCTCTGATTTATTTAAAGAGTCCATATTTCGAATTCACCTACTAAGTTTATTTGTAACCCCAAAATCAATACTCGTGACTCTTAAGCTGTTATACACGGCCCCACGCAGACCCCATGCGAAAAATCTGAGTCACCCAACGTGCATGTCCCAGCTGAGATCAAATGAGACAACCTTCTTGTTTCCGTTCTCATACTGTAAGCAAGCGTCCTTTTCACAGTCTGTTAGCGCCATGGTGTTAACATTTTTGTGCTCTGTGCTGGTGATTCCACTGTTTAAAATGGCGTAGTGCTGAGGTGCTGGCCAGCATGCCTAAGGGCCAGAAGGTTGTGACGAGCCTTACAGAGAAAATACGTATGATAGGTCAGCTTCATTCAGGAATGAGTTAGGGGGCTGTTGGCTGTGAGTTCAATGGGAATGAATCAAAAATATATCTATTTAATAAGGTGTCTTTAAACGGAAACTCATATAAAACAAGGTGCAGTACTGATCAGTCGGGGAAAATGTTGTGGACAGACACACACAGGAACCTGATCCCTGTATTTCCCCTAGAAGCCGAGGTTCACTATTCCCTCATTCAGTGTTCTCGGTGATTTTATAGAACGTAACTACTGCCAATAGCAAGAGCTGACTGGATCTATCCCACATTACCATATGCCCAGCGCTTTTTCAGACACCACGGAGAAATATAAAAAGAGTCTAGCCATTTTCCTACCCTCAAGGGACATGATTAAACTAAATGTCACTAATAACGGGGCAACCTGACCTTGTGGGTCTCCTGATGGGATGCAATATGAAGTTCATAACATCAAGGATTCTTGCCAAAAACATTTAACCTAAATCTAATCAGAGCTCTGGACTTAATTTCCAGATTACAGGAAATGCAGCTAATAGAAGAACAAATTAAATGATACCACAAGGAAATAATTTCGCAAACCAGTCTCTAGATAGTCTACAAGACAAATGATCTGATCTCTTCAAAAAGTCAATATCCGAGGGAAAAAATGGGTTGGAAGAGGGATACTGTACATTAAAAGACACTAGAGAAGCATAACCAAATGTAACACATGATACTTGATTGGATCTCAGTTCGAACAAGCTAACAACACATTTGAGGGCTAATTTAGAAAAATTTAATATTGACAGGATATAAGACAGTATTAGGGAATTATTGTTCATTTGCTTGATCATGGCCGTGTGGAAGAATGTTTTTATTACTCTTTCCAGTTTGATTTAGATAGAACCAACATATAACATTGTATTATTTTAAGGTATAAAATGCAATGATTTGATATATGTATATATTGTGAAATGATTACCACAAGAAGTTTACTTAACATCCTTCACCTCACACACAAAATTTTTTCTCGTGATGAGAAGATTTAAGATACACCGTCTCTTAGCAACTTTCCAATTTACAATGCAGTGTTGTTAACCATAGTCACCAGGCTGTACTGTACATCCCCTCCCCTCTTCCCGCTCCTCCTGTCAAAACTGGTCACCAAGTTCTATTGATTCTGTCTCCTAAATGGCTCCCAGAAGTGTCCCCTCTCTGCCACCCATTGTAATTGCCTCAGTTAGAGTCGAAATTATTACAAGAGGTTGGTTTTCCTGCCGCCCCGCCCCGTCCTTTATATTAACACAAATCTGATGACACCAATTCCTTATTGAAAAATATGGTCTCTCTCTGCCTGCTTCCTCGGGCTCATCCGCTTCCTCGCTCCTCCACACCCTATGCTCCCAACACACCACATTCCTTACTCCTGTACCTCTGAGCCTTGGCGCTCACTGTTTTCAACACTGGGAAGGTCTCCTTCCTACTACTCTCCCTTTCGTGATTGACAGGTCCAAGCTGTCTTTATGACCCAGCTCAAATGTTCGAAGGTCATCACATCTAAGTCATCTCCCCTGACTCTCCCGTCTGAGCTATCTGCTCTTCCCGATCCATGCCTACACAGAATCAGGGCCCCTCTTCTCTGTTATATTTATTGCCTTTGACATATCCCTTACAACACTGAGGGATAATTCTTTGTGATCGGCACAGCTTAAAGATGGCCACAGATTCTTTGGCATGCCTCCCATTGAGAGGTGGGGTCCGAGTCCCCTCCCCTTCACTGTGCGACTGCTTTGACTACTAGAATGGTGTGGAGGTGATGATACTGTGCCAGTTTCTGGGTTCGGGCCTTCCAAGACTGGCGGCTTCCACCTCCTCCCTTGAAATACTCTGCGAACCGCCCTGAGACTGCCATACTGGAGGGGCCATCTGTAGGTGCTCCAGCCGATGGCCTCAGGCGCGGCCATCCCCACCTAGACATCTGGGACCTCTACCCATCTGCTGGCTGAATCCCATGGAGTGACCTTAGTCAACACAACGTGGAAAAGAAGAATTGCCCGACCAAGAGCTGCCTGAATTCCTCAGCCACAAAATCGTGAGACATAATAAAATACTTGTTATTTTAAGCTCCTAACTTTGGGGGTAGTTTGTTACTCAGCAATACACAACCAAAATAATGTGTCTCTTTCAGCAGACAATACTGGCTCATCATCAAGTCCTCAGACAGCGCAAAGTGGGCACTACCCCGTGTGTGCTCAGTGGATGACACCACCATCCTCTTTGCTTTTGTACAATATAGTGAGTCTTGCTGAAGAGACCTGGGCCTCGGTCCCAGAACAGGAGTTAATTCTCTCACACCATTTTTCCAAAGGTGAAAAACAGAAAAAAAAAAAAAAAAAGGATAGCATCAGGGACCAATGACATTGCACTGTGAGATCCCAACAATGCCTGACTGGAAGCAATGGCCTGGCCCCAAAGCCACACTCTTGGAAGCAGGCTGCGTGATGTCTCCATCTGACAGAATGAGGACAGGGAAGGTGTGTGCTCCAGCACGCACTGCCGGGTTCACACATGCTGAGCCATGCCTCCCTCTAGGCCTCAGGGACTCTGGGGCTCAGAGCCCCAGCTTCCTATCCCTGCCAGCACTTCCTTCCTGTCCCTCAGTCCTCTGGGACTGAAAAAGCACTTGCAATCTTCCTTCTCTCAATCATTGGGCATCTGGGGTAATTTCCCAGGCACGGGTTTCTCCCAGCGCATCACCACCTGCCAGACATACAAGGCCACGGGGAGGGGTCAAACTCCTGAGGCAAAATCCAGGGCTCTGGATGTCGCAGGTAGCCGGGCAACCGCTACTTAGAATTCCACAGAGTCCTCCCTCGGTGCTCATACTTTTGCTCCCAAGAAAACTTTCATGTCTACCCGGCCTCTTCTGTCTTCTTCCCTCGACACTGAAGCACAAGGACCCTCCTAGCTCACACTCTGAAATGTTCCTTATAATAATTCTCATAACTCTCAAACCTAATGCTTATAGGGCATTTCTATAATCCAGGCACATCGTCAAGCACTTTACGTACATTGAGTCAGGATCATCTATTGCCCCAGACCCATTCTGGTTTGAATTTGTTCTTCTGTATGGGTTGGCTGACCAAGCATTTCGAGATGGCAATAGCAGAGCATTAAACCGCCATTCACACTGTGGTCTGCAGTTGAGCGGTACACAATTGACCCAGCTGTGTGTGGCAGCCCTGCTCCAAGCTTTCAATTCCAACTCCACTTCCCCCTCTCCACATTTTCCATGGAGCAACTAAAGTCATCTTAAAAACCATTATCAGGTAGCATGAATTCCTAGCTAGAAACCCTCGCGTGGGTTCTCACTGCCGTCTAAACGAATCCGAAGTCATTATCATGGTCCACAAGCCCTCCATCAGAGCTTACCAGTCTGCAAGTTGAAGCACACAATAGTGCCAAATGGGCCACAGGTTTACCAAGATCAGGTTCCTCTCAGCCCAGGGGCAGCCAGGTGGGGCACTGGACAACTGGAGTCCCCAGGGCAATCTTATACGGGGCTCTGTCAGTGCCCTGCACGATTCCAGAAAAAGAGATCCCCTTAGAGCATAACATGGAGAGGGCCCTCAGGGCGAGGCACCAGGAGAACTGGCTGAAGCCCAGGCTGGCCACCTCCTACCGCCAGTGGCCTCAGTGTAGTTCCCTGGAAGGGGTCCATATGTCATTAGTTTTTATGTGTGACACCACACGGTGATCAGACCCCATCCGATACCTGCTCCCCACTCTCCCCTCCTCTCGCCCCAGCTACGGTGTCCAGAATTGCTCCTCCTACAACACCACAAGCTTGTTCCTGGCTTGGGCCCTTTTTATGTCCCCTCTGTCTGAAAATCTGTGTTCTATTTCCACATGGCTGGCCCCTTCCTGTCATCCTGATCTCAGCTCTCATTTCACCTCCTCGGGAAGGCCTTTCGTGACCTGAGCACTCTCCACCGCATCCCTGGTTCTGTTCTGTCTCCAGTCTTTATCATCTCAAACCTCACCTTGTTCGAGGATCTGGCTCCCTGCTTGCTCTCCAGCTCCCTCATCCAGAAGGGCGTTCCACAACAACATGGGTGTGTCTGCCCACAGCCACCAATGGCCTTGGGGTCTGGTTCCTCTGGAAGGACCACTGAAGGCTAGTTCTCCTCGGTAACTGGGGCCCTGCACTCTAGTGGTGACACAGTTCCTCCTGTCTGGGGGACAGCTCTAGCCTGCACGGATGCTGGCTTGCTCAGCGGGGCTCTTGGTGAGCACCAAGCCTTCATCTCTCCAGCAGCTGGTTATGTAGACATTGAGACGCGACCGGATGTTCCTCCCCTCACTCATCTTTCTGCCTCCGAACAGACACACACGTCCCTTACCTCTCACCTCCCATCCTCACCTGTGAGCTGAGGTTTAATT